TTTTCACTTTTATAGTTTTGAATATATAATATATATTCAAATATATGTGTATAAATTATAATTATTGAAATTCCGACCATATGCGATAATTTTTTTACCTTTACAGTTTTGAATATTCAAATTTATTTCATATCGTATAATTTATTCAGACAAAAAATTGGCAAAGTGTTATTTGTTATATTTACTATTCTCTATGACAGATTTTGTTTAGTTACTTTTGAAAAGCTTTGATTTGTTTTTTGTTGCTTATTTATGATAAATACTGTAAATTATTATTTATTGTTGTTTTCTTTTTTAAGAAATTTCTCATTAAAGCAACATTGTATGAACAATTAATGACAGACAACGTTTAGTTATGAATTTTTTGATTTATATAAACAATAAGTCAATTAGTTGCTGTTCAAAATAAGAAAAATTTCATAAAAGGAAATGATCAAAAATTAAATTTGAATTATTGCTGCAATTTTTGATATTTAATATTTTGTTTTAACTCTTACTGCTGTTAATTTTGATTACTATTTTGCCATGTTTAACTCTTGCTAACCTCATCTAATTTCATTCATACTAAATTATTATATCAGATTTAACTTTTAATTATTATTATTATATCATAAATCTATTTTCGGGAATTTCAGGTTCAGGATAACATGTTTTGTCAAAAATTAAAACTGCATCTTTCATGTGCACAATGATGACAGCAATTATTATTAAAAGCTTTAAATGTCACAATAATTATTAAAGGCTTTGTTAATCAAAAGAATGTTATATGTTTTATGAATAATGAAGGATGGGCTATTACTTTCCAGCCAGTGCATTTGATATATCGTCCATTTCTTTTTCCCTTTTTTACTTTCTCTCTTTCTAAAAAACTTTTTGCTGAATTTTTATAAAATGTTTCTAAGTAGAAATAAAATGTTACTAACTGAAAAATTAATTATTCCAGGATTTTTTTTTACTTTTATCTGAAAAAAAAGCAAGTTAAAACAATGAAAACGAAAAATTCATAATCGATATTTAACATTAGATTTATCATCACATTGACCAAGCATATCTCACCCAATAAGTAGAATATATCAGTTTTTATGCAGTGAAAATTTTTCAATTCTAAGATCGTCACAGCGCATATCGGTTTCTAGTTTGTTAATTATCAAAAAGATGAATGATAGTGAACAATTATATCAGATTAGTTCATTGCAAAAAATAGTGAAGAAAGTCCAATCATAAGAATTCAGCGGATATTCAATATCGATTCAAATTGGATTTTAGCTATTTGTTAACTATAAAATAGTTCATTTAAGTATCATTAATAGGTGTTAAATTCAGAACTACCAGTTTAGAAAAGAGTTTAGAAATCAAAAACTTGGAAGAAAATGAAATACACATAAATAAATTTTAGCTATTTTAAGAAAAATAATTAGATGTATGGCCAACGCAAACTAAATTGCCGAATATTCAAAGCTCAGCTGGTACGAATTATTATGTACATATAAATTGGCTGATGCTATAATAAGTTGCTGGCAATAAAGAATAAGTGGTGATATCGAAATATTTTATTCAATTTATTTAGAAAATGTTTGTCTTACTCAGTTGCTGTATATTTGAATGAAAATTTTCGTAGTGCTATTAATGAAAAATTAGATGACTCCAACTATTTTAAATTTAAATAATCTAACAGACAATTATAATTTGGTATTATTTCACTTTCATACTAATATAATTATGTAAATCAATAATTAACGATATATATATATATATAAGGTGTTGCAAAAATTAATAAATGTAAATAAATATTTTTGAAAATGAGTATAAAATCTAGTAAGTGTAAATAATATTTTTTTTTTTAAGAAAATACTGTACTGAATAGAAAGTTGTGAAGAAATTGATTTATAATTAAATATACAATAGAAACGAAAAGAATGTAAATTACAAATTAAATATAAATGTTTGATATAACTGTCACTAAAGGAGAAAAAAGAGACGAAAATTTTTTCCAAACTTTTTATTTATTTTTTTCAAATATAATGAAATTCTGTTAATTGTTGAAAAAAGCTTTTCATAAGCATTGATATTGTTTGCACACTTTTGTTAGAATATTTATATTTTGTATTCTTTTTCATTTTTTATAATTAAACTTTTTTTACTTTTAATATATAAAAACATTATTAAAGTATAAGCATTAAGTATAACAAATAGAAAAAAGTTGCAAGCAAAATCATCGAAATTTAAGCGAAAAAAAATAAAATTATTCAAATTATCCTTGCAAAACCTAATTAAAGTTTTTTGAAACAAAGACGAAATTCAATTATCCATGCAAAACTTAACTATTATACATTAATAGGATGAAATGGCTTAAAAGTATATTGAGAGAGATGGAATAATCATTAAATATATTCCTAATAAAATTGGAAACAATTTTTTTCAGAAATTTAAAAGGAAAAAAGCGAAATTATTTTAAATTTCTTTGCAAAATTTGATCAACATATCGAGAAAATAGTGCTTTAGGCCTCATTGATATTAATTTTAATTAAAACAAATAATTTAAATTAAATATTAAATATGGTTTATAAGTTTCTGTTTCTGAAAAATGCTTACTAAAATGAGAAATGTTTGTGTTTTTGATAGACTGCAACGATCACGTGTGCATAATCGTTTAATTTAATTTCAATTTAATTGTTTTTTAGGAAGAAAAATCATTCAATTTAATTCTAAGTTTTAGGATGAAATTTAAAGAAGAAAAGGTGTCTTTTATATGAAATTATTTTGAATTACACATTAGCATTTGACTAATGGAGAATTCCGTGGAAAACAAAACATTGCTTCTGGTGGATAATTATCGCGGTGAAATACAGCAATCAGAGCTATGCGGTGATGTAAGCTTTCCTTTTTCAATGATTTGGTTTTTTTTGAAATTTTCGAAATTTAGAAAATTTTAAAATTTTGAATCATCAATTACTAAGCAATAGAATGAGTTATCTTTATCACAATTATTATTCCTAATGCCATAATGCTACATTTCAAAATATGACTTATTAACTCGATTGTCTTTTCTTTTATTTCAAACAAATTTCATGATTTTACAGTTAAATGAATTTTCTCAATAATAGCTGTCACCAACTCGTTATGACAATTTCATTAATCATCGCAATCCGAATTTTTTTCTTTTTGAACAAATTTTGAAAAACTTTTTTTCGTTAATATCATAATAAAAATTTCAATTGAAAATAATTTTTTAATTTCCTCAAATTTAAATCGTTTTTTTCTTCCCACAATTTTCCATATATTTTACATTTCATTTTGTGCTTAATTCACTTCATGACAGTTTATCATTCAATTTCTATTTTATGACAAATTTTTTCGATCTTTTATCTTTCATTCATTTCCAAAGATTACCGAAAATTTTTGTTGCTAATTCTAACAATTGTCACTATTTGAAATGAATTAAAATAAAATTTGTTGTTTGAAATATTCCACCAAGCCTTCTTTTTTTAAAGTTCAATCTGTAAACAAATATATGTATAATACGAAATATTGGATGAATTTTAAAATTTTACTTTTCAAAAAGCTAAAATATTATCGTTTTTTTCTTTCCCATAATGGAAAAAGCAGAAATTCGTTTTTTGTGTTTAATTCATCCGTTATTCCTATTTTGCTATCCGCTAACAATAATTATTAGTAAGTATGAAATTAATAAAAAATAAAGAAAAATGGATATTAGGTTTTTTTTTGTTTAATGAATAAACAACGACAAAATGAACGACGAACAGTAGAAGAAGGATGAAATAATTTTTGAAAGAAACATAAAATAAAATATCTTAACAATTTTCGATATAAATGTATACGTATCATGTAAAACAATAACTTTTAACAATATGAAAAATAAAAAGCTAGAAAAGTTTTATTAATGAAAATTAGGAATTTTCAAACTTAAACAATACAATAAAAGTAGTAATATTCATTAAGCGTTGATTGTAAGAGATGAATTACCGATTACTTCTTATTTCTATTATTTGTGTAATTTAATTTGTAATTAATTTAACAGGAACTGCATTTAGTGAATTATGATAATTGAATAAGTGGATGATAAGATAAAAGAGAAGGACCATAAGTATTTGCATTATCTCATTTCATCACCTTTATGTTATCTATTGTTTAAGTGTTTAGGAGTAAACCATTTAATTGATTAGTTGGTTGAATAACCAGTTGATAAATTGATAAAAATTATAACTAATAGTGTCTAAGAATAGATCAATGGATCGATCAGTAATAAAATTATCACCATATAATGCTAATGAATAAATCAAGTAAATCATTAGTTGATAGAAATTATGAATAAAAAATAATTAGATGATAGAGAGTTAAGAGATTATATAATTTTATTTATTATTTAAGAATAGTCCAATCGATTTTTTGCATGGCAACTATTCTCACTCAAATCAGAAATTATATGACATCGAAAAGATTTTAAAATCAGTCTAATCTTTTTCATTCATTAGATATTGTCCATTCTCAATAAATTTATATTCCAACATTTTTCTGCCATCTTTTTTTCATTCATTTTTGTCTTTATTCCGCGGTAAATACATTTTTATATTTTATAGTATATTTGAGGATGGATTTAATAAATTTTCAAAGTATAAAATTTATGCAAATTAAAAGAAATTACTCAATAAAATTCCATTTGTTAAAGAAAAATAGCAAAAAACTATTTAGTCATTTTATTTTTGGAGAAATGAAACGAAATATAATTGAAAAATGAGAGATATTGAAATTTTCGCAATATAAAATAAAATTTGAAAATTTTAATTTTTGGCCATATAGAAGGCCTTATAGAAGCCCATTTTCTTGTTTTTAGCTTTGCTTTTTCGTTTTAAAAAACGATTGAAATTTTTATTATTATGGAAAATTTTCATATTTCCTAAAAATAATTTTTTTTAATAGTTTTTATATTTATTAAAAATTTTCAGTCAGAGTTTTATACATTGGCACGGTTTATTTTTTTGATGATAGCATCATTTATTGCATGGCTTGGTACTTCTAGCAATTTACTTTTAGTATATATGTTTACTACAAGAACTTATCCAACATCTACGAAATATAATACTGGTAAGTTATATTACTCAACGAAATATGCTGGTTATTTCTTCTTTCTTTTAATTGGATGATATTTTAGTTGGTATTAATTTACAAATTCAATAAAATAACTTATATACTTTTTTGCAGCATTGGCAATTCTTGATGCCTTAATTTGTATACTCTATATTTTGTTATTTGGAATTGATGCAGCAGTTGTTTATCTCAAAGCTTCTGTAAATTCCCCTTATTATTATTCAATTAAAATCGCAATAATAGCAATAGATTTATAATAGAAAATAATTAAATGAATAAGAAAGTAATTAGATAATATATCTTCTGTTTGTCATTAATGCATTAATAATATTTTAGCATTTAATAATAAATTTGGAAAAATTTTTAAACATTGTTAGACAGTAAATTATTTCAATTATTAAATATTTTCAGAGTTTATTTATATTATATCATATTTATATTGTACCAGCATTTGTTATAAGTCGAATAACGCAATTAGCCATTCCATATATGCTAATTTTAACGACACTGGAACGTTTGGTATGGATATCAGGCGAACAAACTACGAAATTTTTAAAACAGATGTTCAGTGATCGAGGTCGTCAAATTACAATCTTTCTTCTGCTACTTTGTTGCACAATTTCACATCTGCCAACAGCACTTGCTATCGTAGTACGTCTTTTTATACCTTTAAATTATGGGTCGTACCTATATACCTAATTTATCCAAAATTAATTAAAAGTTAATTTCAAATTCATTTACATTTTGATTCTATCCTTTTCAATTCACCAATAATCTGATGCTAATATGACCATTTATAATATAAACAAAGCCGAACTATGGTAAACAATCTATAGGTAATTCCCACGGCGCTATATTATTTTAACAACACATTATGGCAATCAATTAGCTTTTTTTCAAACTCTCGAGAAGTTGTGTTCATATATTTTTTGCATGAATTAGTAATTCCGATATTACGATAGAATTTTCAAATTAAATCTTTAATGTATAGATATGAATATTTAATTGTAGATATGAACATTCAATTGTTAGAATTTTGCAAAATTAACCGAAGCTATACTTATCAAATTTACAATTATAAATTGTGATCATATCAAAAAAAAATGATAATCAATGATTGAAAATTAAATCACATTTATTTTCCATTTTATGTTAATATTATTAAATGCCTCATTTCTTTAGTAAATCAATTACGAAACAGTTTTACCTCTTTAATTTCTAATTACAATATGATATTAAATTTAATTATTTCAAAAGTTGAAACAAAAAAAATTCATCACTTTTCTTGTTAGGTACGTCATTTTCCTAATTGTAATGATTTTTTGCGCACGCAAAGTACTGGACCAGCTGATTGGGTACGCGAAAGTAAAATTTATTATTTCTTCGATTTTCATCTATTATCAATTGCTCAAACATTTGTTCCATTTGTCGTTCTTGTTGTATTTAATTTTGTAAGTTTTTTAAGAAATCTTTTTATTGCTATAATATATTCAACGCCTTTTTTCTATTAAATTAAATTAAACTGAGAAGTTACCTTTTTTTATTACCGTAAGCATCTGAATTAAAATATTGATCTTTTGAAAATTTATAAAATATTCAATTACAGATTATTATTCAAAAATTACCAAAAGAAAATTTGAATGAAGAAAGGGATAATATAAAAGAAACAAATCAAGAAAATGGTCATTGTTTATTACGCCAAAATTTTACCTCCAATGATTATCATTTGCAACAAAACCAAAATCAACTTCCCATACCAAATGTTCTACTCACATTCGATCGATCTAATCAAAATACTTCAATACGTGAACATAAACCGAAATCATCAATTATGATATGGGATTCAAAATTCAAGAAACACCATAATTCTTTGTATCGAACGAAAAATGAGGGTAATCTATTATGTCAAGATAATACCTATATTAATTAGCATATTTAATCAATATTGCTACCCTAAAAGATGATGAAAAACAGAGGTACGATAGCAAAAACCAATTAACACTTCATAGACATAAATGCTATAAAACACTTATCCATTAGATAGAAATGCTTTAAATTTTATATGTATATGAAAATGTTGTTGTTTGTTCGAATTGAAATGGAAAATTCAACAAAGAAATTGTGCTTAACATTGGATAAATTTAAATAATATGAAATTGATCCATGAAAGTTAAATTTTTAAATAAAACTCATCAAATTTACATGCATTTTAAGAAATATTTTAGTTGTTCAAGACAACCTATAGAAATTTAACCATAAAAAACCAAAATATCATTTGAAATAGATTTTCACAATTCAAAAATTTATCTTTTAAAATAGATTTTCAAAAATAAAAATAAGAATTATTTTTTTCCAGTATCCATTTTAACAATTAAACCGTTTCGAAAAATGCCTATTCCGGTTCGTGATGCTGTCTGTACGATGTTTGCTATTGTTACAAGTTATCTAATCAGTAATAGTCTTCATTTGATACTTACAATTTTAGAAAGGTTCGTTTCTGTTCTTTTGTTTTTGCAAATTGTTTATTTTAATTGATTGATAAATTTAAATGACATACAATTAATCTTTGCTTTTAATCAGAAATAATGTTCTTTTTAGATCAAAAATTTCAATACTTCGTGATCCGAATGATCCAATGATGGCAAGTACTTTTCATACTATTTTTTCGGATACAGTCAGTTTTATTTACATGTTTACTAGCGCAATTCGTATCATCATTTACATGTATAATCCGACGATACGTTTACATTTGCAAAATTTTCTACCCTGTAATTATCGATACGGGAAGAAAAGATCGACAGCAGCTATTCCTCATCCCGTTTAACTACTTCTATTTAACTATTAGGTAAAAGAAATATTTTGCTATGTTTGCTTTTTTGTTTTAATACAAAAAATTTAATATTGATAAAATTTTATCAATTTATATTCCGTTTCTATACATAAAATTATTGTTTAGTTGTTTTATAAGAAAATATTTTCATGAAATTTTGTCACACCTAATTTTACAAAACTCTACCTGAATTACTTGGATAATGTTGAAGTGAAAAAATAGTACTATGAAATATACATATTTAGCACTGTCTATTCAGGTTGTCTAGAATTTTGAATAGCTTTGATAATCCGGAAGTAAAAAGAAAAAAACTAAACGTTACTGATTTATTATATTAGATAATCAGGAATTAAAGCACTCAATAAGATCATATTACTTCAAATACGAATCGAATATATTATGTTTGTTTTCAAAAAAAATACCGAAACTATCTGCCTATTGAAAAAATGCTTAGAATATTCGCTGAAAATAAATTATTATTAATTTTATTTGTCATAAATATATGAGTCATTTTAAATTAAATCAAAATATTCTATCAATTTTCAATTTTCATTAAATAAAATAAAGTGAATTGTAACTTTATAACAATTCAAAATAACTTATCAATTTATAACAATTCAAAATAACTTATCAATTTTTAATTTGTATTTGAATGAAAAAGAAATATATTGGTTTCATACATATTTCTTACACTTTGATATTTCTTTTTCAGAAGGCCAAAGAGATTTGAAATTTCAAAAATTTTCCATTTCAAAAAAACTTGAAGTAAGGAAAGAAAGATTGCAAAGAAAAATGAGAAAGATAAAAGAAACTTTCATCAAGTTTTATCTGAGCTATATTAGGAAAAAGAAAAATTAAGTATAACATTAATTATTCAATGAAATAATTTCCATCCTGTCATTATGAATGAAAAGTATTTTGATTAATTAAAAATTTCGTTCCTTTTTCAATGGTATAAATTAAACGTAAAATTTTGCTTCATGAATTCTGATTATTCCGGAATGATATTTTTCAAGATTTTTCATCTTGAATATATTTGCTGTTGACTAAATTGCATGTGTCATCATTTGTATCGTGCAGATATATTCATTTTATTAAAATTATGGAATTATAATTAACGTGTATGATTAAATAATCCTACTAATTATTAAAGCAAAAAATACCTTAACTATCACATACATTTATTAATTTATTATGTAGTATAATAAACTGGCAGCAAAATATGCAAATTATGTTGCGAATATTTTTTAATTTGATACAATAAAGGATATGATATGACAAGTATATTATTTTGCTATCACATATCCCTTCTTTTCCTTTACTTTATATGGTATAATGAATTTTAGTTTAAGTTTCATATTTTATTTCACTTTTACTCTTTTTTACTATTTCATTTTATACTCTTTAAATTACAAAATTTTTCCAACAATCAATTAATATGCCAATATTTACATTAATTTAGAAGATAAAGAGAAAGGGAATATATTACTGAAAAAATATGGGCAAACATTTTTTATAAAATTTATTGAGAGGGAGAAAGAGAGAGAGAGAGAGAGAGGAAAGGAACGGATAAGATTATGTGTATGTGTTCTTTTCTCGTTCAAATTTTATCTTCTTGCAAACAAAGAATGATGATTGAGAAATGAATGCAAATTAATGACTTTTGATGAATTAGTTGATTTGTTAAAATTTGTGACACATTGTTTGTTCCATTGTGTGCGATACTAATGGTAACCTCATTTTCATTCATTTAATAACAACATTCTTCCAATCATTTCCTTTTATATTCTTACACATATCATTATCATTATCATTATTATCATTATCAATTCTTCAACATTTAGTCTATTCAAAGCTTTCTGCTCTTTTATTTCTTTTTGCTTTTTTTAAACTTAAAATCTTTTTGCAATAAATTGGAATTTCTTTTTTATTCTAAATATAGAATATAATATTTGGATATTTTTAAAAAATATTGAACATTAATGAATATGTTTGAATGAATTTTTTGTTTCACATTATTAAATTATTTGAAAAAATTAAGTAATATTATTCAATTTCTTAATATCAAACAAGAATAGAAATATCATTATCATTTGAAAATTGATTATTTATTATAAATTTCCACCGACATTTACTTATATCAAAGCAAAAAGCTTTGTATAGCAATTAAATCGATCCATTTTATAAATTAATTCATTTGAGAAATCTTTTTTTATTCTTTCAATCTCTAACTTAATTTTACCCTTACACTGACAGCTTTTTGTCATTTTATATTTGAAAAGAATCAATGACTTAAAGATTATTTGGCTTTTACTTAAATGTTCCATTACTTAAATGAAAACAAAACAACCATTTTTAATTACTATCATTTTATTTATTTATATTAAAGGGAATTAATTGAATCGATCCATTTTATAAATCATTTGAGAAAGTTTTTTTAGTTAATAAATTAAATCTATATTAACCTAAATTTTAGATTTTAACTCTTTTTTTCTCTTTTAACGTATTCAGAAATAATTGTACAATTTTTAGTTCTTTTTAAAATAAAATAAACCTAAATTTACGAAAATAATTATTTCTTCTTTTCATTATAATCATAATTGTCTTAGTAAGTTTTAAAAAAATAACACTTTTGTTGAAAAGTTTTATTGAGGCATAAAAAACAATTTAGTTATCATGTAACAGTACGGTAATTTAGATACTTACAAGTGATACGTTATTTTACTACTACTACAATGTTGCTTCATTTCATATTGTTTCTGTTATCTGTAGCTGCAATTTCACTAAACAATTTAAAATCAAACTGTACCAATCAGCTATCATCACCATGTACATCACCAACACTTTGTTCAAACGGATCATCTGATACTATCGATCAAAGAATCAATAAAAAAATTCAATCTGAAAAATTAAAATCGGTTAAGTTTAATTTTTCTGTTGGCTTTTAACCGCTTTTAATTTCTAATTGTTTCTATTTATTTGTTTCTACTTTTTTATTTTCTCAATTTTTTCATTATTATTTTCAGCAAAAGTTAAGGATATTCTTCTTTTTTGCATTATCCAATCAATCGATCAATTTTAAATGATTTGCTTTCTTTTCATAATTTCATTTATTTTATTTATTCAATTAATTATTATTCATTCAATTTCGACCATTGTTAAGCATTTAAAAAGTAAACAAGAAATACGTGATTTGTTTATTTTTTGATATTTTAGAAGAAAAAGTTTTCAAAAGAACTACCGATGGCATACATGAAAGGTTATGGGCGATCACGTATCCTAAAGCGATCCGCAACGCAAGGCTCACCGGTACAATCATTATTATGTAAATGAATTAATTTACTAGCTACCAATCAGAGGAGATTTTACAACTTTTTAATCTCATTAAGTGATAGTTTAAAATAAGCATAATGGATGGCTTAGAATATTTCTTCATCATTCACTTTTAGCATCAGGTTAAAATATAATCCGTATAATCTATAAATTAGTATAATTCGATAATCATTGATTACATACATCTCCGAGTTATCTCAACCGTAGCTATCATTGCTTAAAATCTCAAAATTAAATAACGTCTAAGAATAGACAACAATGACTGTTTGTTTAAGTAGTAATTGGAAGTATTGAATCCGGTCACTTAGTTTGGATACTTCAAATAAACGGGATCCTCAAACAGGACAATAAGTAGTAGTAAACCTTTTCATACTTAATAATTTGATTCTATTTTATCTTTAGACATTGTAACTTCGAATGATATTTCTTACTGTGCAATGAATAATTTTAGAATTCAGTGAAGAAGCCCAAATATATAATATAATAAAGGTCAATTTTTAACTTTTAGCATTTAAAGATTATATTTGAACTTTTTGATCAAAAAGTGGACGGCCGTTTTTCTGCTGCCTGTCACTATTTCTTCAATTCCATTTTTAGGAAGATGATTCAGACTTGATAACAATGTCAAGATCAAACTTTACAACCAGTGAAAGAGCAGAAAGCCAATGGATTTCCGCTAAACATGTTTTTGATAAAAATCAGCCAAAATTGTCGAAAATAATTAAGAATCGTTCTGAGACCAGAGTGAACACCAAGTGTAACAGTGAGGAGTTAAGAAAACTTATGCTTGAGGTATTAACAACAATGTTTTTTGTAGAGTAAATTTCACTTCATTTCTTCCAAACTTAACCAGATTGAGAAAACAATCCGGAATGATATAGACTGTTAAGTCAGAAAAATGAAATTTTTTCTTAAAATCATTCCGGATTGTTTTCTGAATATAATTTCGAATTGTTTTCTCAATTTGGTCAAGTTATGATTTTTCGGCTGTTTTGGATGGAAAAATACTGGCTTTCAAATCCAAATATTAAGTTTCATAATTTTTATGTTCAAAAAATTTAGAACATTAGTGATAACTCGTCATCTTCAAAACGTGCTATAAATGATCAAGCAGAAGCCAAATTTGGTGGCACCATCGATGTGATTTGCTCGAAAGGTCATTTCTCCTATGTATACAGCTCTAACTTGTATTGCGAAGTTATGAAAGGTAGTATGACCTGTATCGCATTTCGACAATCACGTTGATAAGTACGAATAAAACCTTTAAATTAATGATTCATCGGTCAGTTTTCGATTTGACGTCGTTTATTTCTGCAATTTTAATTGGGGGACAAAAAAAATATAGTTCTGAATAGTCAACCCCAATCCATTTTCTCTTGGGAATGATTGTTACAACTTATCAATTTCGATACATCTGATTTGCAGGACGGTGAAAACCACCGTCGAAACTGATCTGTATATTCAATACCCAAATGCCTTATTTTTCTGAACAGGTACAGAGGATGGAATTTCGATAGAAAATTCTCAAATAATCTATTTGAATCATTGAATACAACTAAGGAAAACTTTCCAAATGCTGAGAATCCATGATTTCATTTACTAACCTGCATTTTTAATTTTAATTGGAAACTTGTTTGGAAAAAAAGTAAAATTCATGGAGAGCCAGAATGGTCGACTATCCTAGCATTACATATTTCTTCCTTATCAGATAAATAGCTAACATTTCGATTTCAAAAATCAATATCTATAGTCTTATTTAGACTTCACAGTAACAGGAATGATGGAAGGGAAGATTTTCGAAGCTGTAAGGATAGATCTATCCATAGGAAATTATTTAAGCAAATGTAAAGAAACAGAAATAAAGAAGTTACATCTTTTTTTTGTCGCGAATATATGTGTGACTATTATTTTATCCTTCTGTGAACTGAATAAAGATCAGCTAAAGAATTGTGTTTGTTTAGTGAAAAATATAAAGCATTTTGCATTCAAATCGTGAAATCATTATGTTCTTAAAAATCTTTTCTATGATTACTTCCCACCAAACTTGATAAAAACGTGAAAACCCTGGATAAAATTATAACCGCCAGGTGTCAACAAAGCGAATCAGAAAAACTTCTATTTATCAAAATTAACAAAATATTAAATTTTAGAATATTATTAATGACACATATGCACATATTTATGATTTGCTTTCTGTACTTTCTTCAACCCATCTGCATACCAACTGATGGAGAGTCTTCGATGTCAATTGCAATTTATGCTTCTGGAAAGATTTTGAAATGATATTTATTTTTGAAAATGTAAATAAAATATAACGAAATTTTTTTTTTGAAAAGAGAAATTCAGGAAATGCCACAGATCTAACATTTCCATAATACCAAACAAAGAAAAACCTCTGCGAAAGCAACGATACGTCTCTTAAAAAAAGGTTCTTCATCAGCTTCTCCCGTATCCTTGTTTTCTTCATACCATTCGTATGCTTTTCTTAAAAATTATGCAAAGATTTTTGAGAACTATTGAAACAGAAGAAATAACTCAATAATTTAATTTAACTACTGATGCTGCAAGAATGAAAAATCACAGAAAGTAAATCAATTTCTGACAGCTCTTTTTACTTTTAATTTTTAACTAACTTCACTGAGTATTCCGGCAATAGACGATTCGGTCCTGTAGACGGTAAGCCAGACTGAAGATATAGTGCTATCATTCTAACTGTTTTGTCAGAATGCTGAAAATATAAAACATTAATTGAAAAACTATAATGAACATTATTTCTTTCTCAGGCAAACATTAAAAAATAAAACTACTCACTTTATCAAGATTTATTACTCAAAAAAAAACTGTCGGTTACATCCATACAGCAAAAGAATTGAAATTTCAAGTCGCAAGGTATTTTCAATAGTCGTAAAATTAGATCAACTTCACCACAATTTCTTCGACAATATTTTTCGCATGAAATTGAATGAAAAATGAAAAAAATACCCTAGCGAAGACACTTATTTCGGCGATTATTGACGAAGAAAGTCCACCACAATAATCCGGATGATCATGTTCTGGCTTGAATAATTCGATATAGGAGCTCCCATCCGTATTTTCCACCATACAGTCTAGTTTCGGATAAGCCTACATTTTTGATTTAAAATAATTAACAAACTAATGAGACTTCATATCTCCAGAAATATTAACCATTTCTCAACTTCTCAAAGCCGTAAACATCAAAATGTTCGAGACATAGCTTCTATTCCTACAATCGAAATTCTTCGCAACAGAGTTCCATTTTATGAAGAAACAAATACATGAAAAAAACTGTTAAAACATGTTAACAGATGGAAGTAATGAAAACTTACAATGAAAAAAGATCTAATGCACAGCAAAATAGATGCTGTGCCAGAAGAGGGCATGAAAAACGCTAATGCTAATAAACGTTTGACGTAAGCGGCTACGCGACACACTGGAACTTGCTTACGACGGCAGTTAATCATCAGATCTAATGTGCGTAACGTTAGCGATAATGTGTTTATAAGTGCATCTGAAAAACTGTTACTGTTGATTCATCAAAAATAACTGACATTAATAAAAATCAAATTTATGTTTATTAACACAATTAAAAAATATAGACCTTGTTGTTTTTCAAACGCTAAAGCAGGTAATAAACAGTACATTGACCAATAAAATCGAGAAGGATCGATATTCAATGCAACACCTTCACCGGAAAGCATGATGAATGATGTGTATATGCATCGCAATGAATCCAACAGTCGAAGATGCTAAAATACTACATTATTTCATACTGAATTATTAAAACACACAACATGAACTCCTCCAGAAATTTAGACCGATCTCGCAAATAGAAAATTATATTAATCTACTATATGTATAACTATCCAGGGATATAATGTAAGAAAAGGTGCCTTAAGCAGTTCAATTCTCACCTATAGAAGAGTTAAAGCTTATAGAGACGATAAATAATTATAGTCGCTAAGTAATTATGGTTGTTTAAATAACTATGGCGGTTTTAATTAAGTTGAACTTGAAAAGTACGTAAAAGAAAATGGTAAAACCTGCTGATTGATGAGTGAGGACAGCGCAGATATTATATCGTCAAAGAATTCAACGTTAATTAAATGCGCGAATTTAGCCAAACCTTCCAATACTGGTTCTAACAAATTTATCGTGGGTAATCGCTTTATAACGCGAAAGTACGTTGCAAATACGTGATTCATTGTTTCAGTTGCCTAAATTTCATGCTTAAATTACTTACAGAAGTGATTCTGATTTTACTAAATAATTGATATGGGTTCGCCTTTCAAGTGATGGTTTTTCCTATGGATTTCCTGTTTCCTGCTGCGTCTGTTAAAAAGCTCTTTTATTTTTTGAAATCCAAACATAAAACAATAAATAATAATTTCTTACAAAGCGTAAAAAAAGAAAAAAATTTTTGAAGGAAAGGTTTACTCCCTAAGAATTAATGAAATATATTACATATAATAATAATAATAATATTATATCATCATAATGACATAAAAAACTTACAAATGAAAGTTTTGTCGAAATAGATTCGGCTGCTTCAGCTTCTTTCAAATCAGCTTCCAGCTTTTTCAGCTGTTTGGCGAACTAAGGCATAAAGTCAATTACATGTGCCGTTGCAAAATATTCAATTTCACTTCGGAAATCTCTCAAAAATTTAGAAATATTTCTTCCTGATCTAGCAGTGGTTACTGTTTGCTAGAACGGACGTAAGCAGAAGCATTCAATGTTTATCAATATGAAGAAAACTGATAAGATTTATCAACTAGTATGAAACTGCTCAAGCTACCAAGAATCTAACCAAACCACATTTTAACCTAAATGGTGATAAATATTCGCTATATTAGTTGGGCATTTTTTAAGTCAAAAATTGTGATATTTATATGTCTTCGGAAGAAGTGATTAGCAAAAAACGCACTCTTTCTTTACTTTTGCTTTTTTTTTCCTTGTTTAGCAATCTTTTCTTGCTCAACAGCTTCTTCTTTTCCCGATTGTTTCCGCCTTTATTTACTTCCTAAAACAACATCAAGAATTTCTATAAAATTAGATTACCTGATAGAATTTCATTTAGTCCAAAATCTACATTTCAAATCAATCTGAATTCCTCAATTTGAAAGAATTTTAAGTCAGTCTTAATTTTATATTCTTTCAAAGCAAAAACTTAGAAGTACCAACCTTTACTTTCAAATTCAGGAATGATGCGATCAGTGCTGATGGTACGTTGCCTTTTTTTTGATTAACAATAGATGCGATATATCTCGCTGCAGTGGCAGATATTCGGAAGTTTAAATCGTTACGAAACAATTCACTTAGTGTAGAAGAACATATATCGATAGCCTGTCAGGAAGATGAAGGAAAGATACTTTCATCATTTACATAAATTGAGTTAGTTACAAAAACTGGACGAGTAACAAATAACAAATAATCGCAAAAAAAAAATCCACTGATACGTGAAGAGCTTACATCCTTCGAATTTGAAGTGGATATGCGAACTATAAAACTGATTATGTTTGAAGCGTAATTGAAATGAGTCGCAGACAGGAGAACTCGTGAAAGGCATTTCAAGCAAATAATAGGCAAAAGATTATTCAGTTGTTTAGAAGCCTTCAATAATTCTGAAAATTTTATGGTTGAATTCTCCAACCGCCGAGAGTGCTTTATTTAATGGCAAAATATTAATGAGCTATCATCATCAGTTTGCCCTTGCGAGTAATAAAATGCAAAAAAGAATTAGAATATGTGCTTCTGAAAGAGTTTTTGTACTATTTCTTCATCGAATAAAAAGAAATATCCAGAACTAAACATAAGTTCGAATTTTTGTGTCTGACAGTGATAATTTATTTAAATATGGAAGGAATACATCAAAATATTCACTTACTACCAGCGTAGGTTTCCAAATGTTGTAAATATTTTAGATAATATCGCAGAAGTGTTTGCTCGAAATCATATAACTTTTTCGTTTCTTTTTTAAGTTTCTGAGCCATTTCCTCTTCGGTACGAGGCCTAAAATCACCAAAATTAATATCGTTTATTAGTAAAGCCGATTTATGACTTTAAAGAAAGGATCAAAGAGACATGAAATGGAAGGCAGGATTTAAAAAAAAATCATCAACCTTATAGCATAACCCGGGATAATATCCACAAAAACTTCAGCCAATGAAACACTTGCAAGTTTTATCACAATTTCACGAGCCAATGAAGAAATACCCCTGCCTATGGACAATAAATACAATTCTTTCAATTTGTGCACCTGAAATCCATAAAAATTTTAGATAGAAAATCTTTCCAATTTTAGATAAAAAATGTTATAGCACAAGCTATATATATATATATATTGTACGTCTTCCTGTTCTTTAAAAAAAAGACCACATGAAAGAATGTAGAATTTTAAAGGAAGCTTTATCATAATTACAAACTTTAATAAATTATGCCTCAAAAAAAAATTTTTAACTTTTATCACCACACTAATTGGAACATATACTATGCGATCTTTTATTCAGCAACTTCTTAACCTGCCTAAGCGTGGATATTTCTTCCCTCCTTCTTAACCATACAATTTGGGGAAAAATTCAACAGTTCAACAGTAAAACCATACCTCATTATGAGGATCTGACATAATCAAGTGTGCTAAGCTGCTAATTCTGCCCTTTGCTTCCTCTATATGATTGTGACATAATTTTAACAATTCTGCCGCACTAAGCTGAGATAAATCCATTTGATTAACTTCATCGTCTTTCTGGTTGTCTTCTTTATCTTCTAATAAACCGGAAATATGAATTAAACAGATAACATTTCTTTCGAAAAGACTGCAGAACCTCAACTGGCATTAATAGTTACGATGTGAAATTATCAGCATTATAGAAAGATTAGGCATTAAAAACGTACCAGATTCACTTGATTCACCTTTCTTACATGTCTGTCTTATTACTTTGGCACCCACTTTAATTGGCAACAATTCTCGCATATTATCATCTAATGTTCCAGGAAATCTACGAGTTTTACTTTCGATATCATCAATTTCAGCATCATTCTTTTCTGAAAAATGACAGGAATTATGGATCGTCAAAAATGAACTATGTTTCAACCGATACTTTTTTTAAATAATGCCAGTCATTGTGGTAAATCAGAACATTTCCATGTCTTGAAATGTAAAACACCCCGAACAATATCATTTTATGCAAATAATCGTGTAACAGCAGAGAGAGCCGATATTTGAAAACTAAATTTCCTCACATCAATCTGAATTTCAACCTTTTTCAATTCGTCTAATTTTTGAAGCAAATGCGCTGTTCTCCCAATCGATGTCCGCATCAAGCATATCCAAGGGAAGGATGTCATCATCAGCCTCATTTTTAGCCATAATTTCACGATCTTTATGCCAGTCTTCCTCGATCTGAAATGTAAAGGATCTGTTCTGAAACATCTGCATGTTACAAAACATAAATAGTGATTACACACGACTGTTTCATCAAACATATGAAAAATTAATAATTTTACATAATAATGGAACATATGTGTAATGTAGAGCATTATTCATAAAAGCATAAACCAAAAATATTAGTTTTGAAAATATGAGCTAGAAGATGAATTCAGAGCTGACTAAAATTACTTTCAATATTTTAAAAAAAGTTACAAATTGATTAAAATTTTTTGCAACCCATTTATATTAAATTTACACACCTGAAACGGATTTATTCAAAATAAATTTACTTGCAATTTATCCCACCTTTAGCATTAAAACATGAGAGGAAATAGTCACTTACGTCAACTGCTCGTTTTCGAACATTTGCATGTCTCCTAAGGCTAACATCTTTGATTGCATCTACCATATATCGTTTTAACTTTTTCGCCTTTTGCAATCGTCGCAGCTTTTTCTTCACCTTATGAGTTTGCTTCTTTCGCACAACGTGACCATTACCATTCAAATTCATTCTGATATTATCCAATAATCAGGCAGGCCACTAAAGAAAACATTTGTTTAAATCATTACTTATTGTACAAATTGCTTTTTGCTAAATAAATCGTTCATCTGCCAAAAAGATTTCTTTTTGTCATTATTTGCTAGATAAGTCGATATCTATTACATGGATTATGCCTAATCAATTAATTGACATGTACATCATAACTAGAGAAAGTAGTAATATCAGTGTAGAAAAAAAACAAAATGTCCATCTGCCATTATAACTTCGGAAAAATATCATTCAATTCAACTGTTGCAAATATTTTACCTAAATTTCTTACTTCCCTAGTTAATATTCGAATTCAACACTAATCAGCATCTAATAATTACCACTACTAATAACCAGGAAATACTGCAACGTCCCGATAGACAGGACTCGAAACTAGAAATTTGGTGATAGCCCCAAAAGAAAATTATGCCGACTCAATTCGCGAAATGATGAGAATTCAAGTGAGCGTGATTTTCTAGGAGTGGGGAGGGAGGTGAGAAGAGAAGGATTCCAGAAGACTAGAGATATGGATAGAATTGAAGACTGTGAATCTGAGTACTCTCCCAGGGAGTCTTTGGTCGTCCTTTGATAAGGATAGGTTATCACCCTTCGTTGATAGTTCTGAATGACGCTACTCTGAGACGTAGAATAATTGCTAGTTTTTACATTAATTCCTTAGAAAATTAAATATTTAATTTTTTAGTTAATTAATCAAATGCATTCAATAGCAAAGTTTGCTGACTGGTTGTATGCTTAACAGTTTTATTTTTAAATAAGTATGGGTTCGAAATTGAATTAATCAGTAAATCTAAGTTGATAAATTCTATTTGAAATAAACTGTAAAAAATATTAAGTTAAATTCAAGAAATGAAGTGTAGAAAATGTAAGCAAACAGAAATATAAGAACAAAGAAGAACAAGAAATCGATATTACTTTATTATTTGTTCGATGTCAAATCAAAACAGATAATAAGTATTGTGCAAAGTACCCAGCAAAAATCGACTTATTTACAATTTTGAAATTTTACTTATCATTAAACTAATAATGTTCTAATATTGAATAAGTAAATAAATAAATAAATGGATAAGTAGTATAAGTGATCAATAAATAATAATTAATTATATAAACAAGTTAAGAAATGTTTAGATAGATGAGGCGAATATGTCCGCAGTTCGCTGCTATTCAGACATCTTCTCGACTTTATTCAACTGCTACTGGAACGAGCAAGAATTCGACAAAAGGTCAGCCGTCGGCTAATACTTATACTGTAATCTATCGGAAAAATGAACGAAGAAAACCGGCTGATACGGTAGAAAACTTTATTAATTTAAAGGCTTTTACTAGTTTTTTGAATTTTGCTGATTGGAAGAATTTTTGCACGTTTTTATGTTACAGTTCGGAACATTGAGTTCATTTGAAAAAAAACTTTTGCCGTTAAAAATATCTCATGGTCCGAAGCAAAAGAATAATGCTTTCGAAGAAGTTAGCAGCACGTTCGAAAAGGAAGAAGATGACGAAGATATCGGCTGGACATCCAGTTTCTTGCGATCGAAGCTCAAGGACAATAACAAGTAAAATATTTACTTTTGGTTTGCCTAATCTTCGACTAATTTTTGACCGTTTTTACTGAAGAAACGAGGGTTATTGCATATACCCAATGTTTGGTTTGCTTTAGAAGAATGCCTTAAATTGGACGTATGATCTGATAAACTAGTGAATTCTAAAATGTTTCAGAGAGTTGCCTATAATCACAGAACCATTGGCATTTGGACAGAAACAACGAAAAAAATTAAAGAAAAGAAAAGAAGCTGAAGAGGAATATGAGAAATTATATGGTGTAGATCGAAGTACAACAAAAGTTATCATTGGTTTGTTTCTTCGATAACATTTTGATAGTCAGAAATTGCGATCCATCTGTTAATGATGTTTGATAGTGTCAAATCTCCTTTTTATTTAGTTGTTTTCCCTGAATTTTTCGTCACAAATGAAGTATTAAAAATTTTCTAATTCAGTAGTGCTGCAAGAAAAAGAAATGGCAGAATCTCTGGTAGTTCAGTAGAATCTGAACTAGTCTTATAGTATAAAATTTAAAATATTGTTGTGGATGATCTCTTCTTTCTCAGTCTTTCTCAACTCAAAATTTTTAAGTGGTTATTTTTAGAGTGTGCTAAAAAGGAATATAATCATTATGAAGGTATGCGATATCCTCCTGGTGATATACAGTTAGCAAGCACACACTGGGCAAAAAGCAAATATAAGAATGATTGGTTCACTATTCATCCGGTCATGAGAAAGGTACACTTATAACCAATAGTTTATAGTACTTATTCTTTCAGTATTGCTTTCCTCGTCTTATTTGGAATGATAAGGTCATTATAGTCTGTTAATTCTATTTTCTGATTATTTTGATTTTTTATGATGCATGGAGCAAATGAGTTCTTTATGTATAATTCACATAAGAATTTATCTGTATTCATCGATCTCCGTCTTCTAATTTCTAAATAGGTGATGGGAATACTGGTGATTATTTTATATTGTATCTTGCAAGGATTTCGTAGGTTTACAAATCACTTAATTTTCATAATCCATCATTCAACCGTGATGAGTCGTTTTCTTGGGATGAAAATGTGCGTCTACTTGATCCAGTAATCATCGATAATGCCCGAAAGCTCGGTTTTCGCGTGCCAACAGTCATACAGGTTCATACTATCATCATCTCAGTCTTGTAATTCAATTTCATATTTTGTTTGGAGTTATTGGGAACATTATTACAGGTGAAGCTTTCTACAGTTTTTTTCCCATTACAATAAAATTGGTTTCTTACAAATTTGCAGCGTCGAGCATTCCGAGCCTTCAAAAGTGATGCACACCTTCTTATAACTGCTGAAACAGGTTCAGGCAAAACAGCGGCATATGCTGCGCCATTGTTATCTGCTTTATTGCAAAATATGGATCGGCATGCAAAAGGTTTGTTTTTAAAAATAAAAGGTAAAATAGCAGGTAAAATAAAAAATAAAATAAAATAAAAGGTAAAATTCGTCGATTACAGGTAACTTGCGAAGAGTTTAATTCCATTGGAATTCGCATGTTTTTTTTTTTTATTTTGCTTTGTGAAGATATTGCAAAACAATTATAATCTTTTGCATCATGTTTATAGTTAATTCATTTACTAGGAGAAATTTTGTTTATTATTTAAATTCATGCTGTTTTTATAGGCGTTGTGCTAGTTCCTACACATGCATTGCGGATGCAAACTTCACTGATGATCAGCAAACTTGCCGAAGGTACTGATATTAAAGTCGTTGGAGGTATTGAGAGATGGCGAAGCAAGAAGGAAACCAAGGAGGTATGCCTTTGAAAATCTAAAAATAACTCAAAACAATCCCTCAGCTCTGTATTTGAAAAGGAAATGAAATCTTAATAATTTTTTGATCTAATGTGAAATATCAACTCTAATTTTGCGATTGTTAGAACCATAATATGGCTCTCTCCCTTATGATTGCAGGATTGGAATGTCCTTGTTAGTACACCCAGTTTTTCTCCTGAATTTTTAACATCTTTCAATATTGATTATATTGTTTTGGACGAAGCCGATATGTTACTCGATGATAGTTTTCTGAATAATATCATTGGACTGCTCGGTCCTCTTAAAATACGATACTCAGTAGGCGATAAGAATGCTACAGGTTCGAAGTTGCTTTTAAAATGTATAATATTTTCATGGAACAAATTGAGGGATTTATTATTTTGTTCTTCATAATTATGACGAAATTGATTGTGTAAGATAGCACATCATAATACATTACATGCGTATCTAATACTGAAATATCTAAGTATTATTGAAAGTATTCGATATTATTTTGTCATTTCTTCAAATTTTTGAATTTCTTAATGGTTATTTTATGAAACTACTGTTTGTTGAATTTTGAGATGGTGTACGTTTGGTTTTCTCATCCGCTACATATCCAGATCAGTTGCAACGGATTGCTGAGAGTATAGTGGATTATGAACATTTGTACTGTGTCAAAACTGAGAATTTGCATCGCATTATGCCTCACATAAAACAAACTTTCATCAGAGTCAGAGAAACAGACAAACTAGAGAAATTGAAGGAGTTACTCCAGAAAGGACTCTCTTTTCCCAGTGGGCAAACTTTAATCTTTTGCAAGGTTAGATTTCAAGGATATATTATCGTATTATTCTTTTAAATCTTTAAAATCTTCAATGTCTGAGCAAGTATTTGGTGTTTTCTAATAGCTAATTTTCATAAAATTGCATTTTAGCACATTCACTCTACCCTTAAATAATATACGTCATTTGATACTTTCTTGCAGATTTTCTGTTACAGGATTTAAAAAATGTAGAGTTGGTATCAAGATCATTAAGAGAAGTGAACATTGAGCATACTTGCCTGAGTAGTGGTTGTCGAATTGAACGGTTGATTGATGAATTGCGCAACGGTACTGTGCGTATTATTATAGCGACGGATGTTGCTAGCAGGTATTTTAAAATTTAAATACTTTGACTACAATCACAGTGCAATCATATGCTTCGAAATTGTTTTGATTCATATTCCATTTAGAAGCCAAAGTAACATTAAAAACCATAGAATATTCCTTTATATGGAAAAAATGTGCAAAAAATATTTCAACGAGGAAAATTTTTCTCACCTTATAAATTTACCATTTCCAAATTTATCGGGAAATCTCATTTTTTATGAAAATTTCAGAGGTTTAGACTTTCCTCAGTTGAGGCATATTATTAATTACGATTTTCCGCGGCAAATTTCGGACTATGTCCACCGATGCGGTCGAATTGGTCGCATTGGAAGTTTGCATAAATGTTTGATGACATCATTTGTCAGACGAGCTTGGGAAGTGAAGCATGTGAATTCCATTGAAGTTGGTTTTTTATAATTAGCAAGGACTGTGTTGGAAAAAATATCCATTCCAAATTCTTTTTTATTGCTCATAGTTTGACTTTTCCCACTGCCGATTAACAAGTATTTGCTCGGGGATTAAAAATTCTTTATTCTTATATTAGCTTTGTAAAACAGGTCATATTTTTGCTCTTTTTAGTGATATTCCAGTTCTACCTTCCTCAACAAACCCGTAGAAAAGACGGGCACTTTTTATATCTTTTATTACCTTTACTTTATTTGATATATTTAGTTTTTGCATGAAATGAAATTAAATGTTTCCGGAACTTTAATAATTTAAGAAAGGATTTCTTTTCTTCTCTTCAGGGATCTAGTTTATAAGTAATTATGGTAGTTGGGTCTGCGCTCGTAGTTGGATCTGCGTCTCAGGACCTGGTCCATCCATTGGATGAGAACTGGGCTCCTAGACTAATATTGCCGGTTTTCCTTACGTTACCTTGATTGGTTGCGTATGGTGGCTAGCAAGTTTACCTTGATTTCAATAATTTCGTTTACTGGCTTTTTCTTAAAAAATTGTCAATTTCTAGTTGGCTGCACGACTTCATCGGATAATCAAAGATGTGGAAATGAATGATCCAGCGAGATTGAGGGGTCTGCAGAGAGATTTGATTTTATGATGTTTATTTGTTGCGTACGTCAAATTCATTTATTAAGTGTGAGGTTTTTTTTTAATAAATTATTTCCTTCCTAACTCATTTTGCTTTCAAATTCAGTTTCAAAAGTTACAAAAAGGAATTGAAGATGAAAAAGGAAAAAGCATAAGTTTAAAGGAATAGTATAAACAATACTTTTGTAGAAATTATCATAAGTTACTCTATATACTGCAAAAAAAAACCTTTAAAAAATGATGCAAAGCAGAAATTTGAGTATTGAAAAGATTTTCTCTTCAAGTAGAAAAACTGAGTGCTGAAAAGTTGTCATTTTACTCATTCAACTGTTTTATTCGAAAATTTTCTGCATTATTAAAAACAATGCAAGAGAGGGAAAGAAAGAAAAAATGAACTTGGATTTATGCGGTTAGAATTAGCACGAAATTTCATATATCTCCAGAAATATTTCTGACAAATGCTGCGGAGATCACGAAAGGTCAGCATTTACTGCTATTGTATTTTCCTTTGATTGAAAAAGGTTCAAATTGAAAATCATGTCAATCTCGACAAGAAAGATTTTCGAAATGTTTTATGAAATTGACTTTTCAAACATATCATTGAATCGACAATATCAGATAATATGAATATAAAATGGTATTCATAAAAATTACAAATAGCAGCACTTTATGATATCCAAAATCAATCTATTCATTTAGTGATGTGGTTAGATATGGTGAAAATTACCATTGACGATGGAATGTAACTAAAGCTATTTACAAGATGCGTTAGTGGTGATGATTAGGAATGGAATGTGGGAAGTTGATTGAATCATTTTTCCACGTTCAAGGACACTTATCTGTACGGTATTTGATAGGAGAGTAGACATAAAGAGCAGTGAAGAGAAGAAGATTTGCCGAGTATGTTCTATTTCTGTGCGAACATATATAATTTTTATCTTTTTATTGCAAAATTTTAAAGGAATTTCAAATATAATGAAAAAAGACAAAAATTCAAAAGATTTGAAAGCATTAAAGATAGATATCTTAATGAGATGCAGATTTCGTTTATTAAAATTTTAGTACTACCTTAATTATTGATCATACTTTTCATTTAAATAATGATCCCCATCACACCACCATATTGCTGTAATTATGGACTGATATTAGGTTGGCACCAGATTAGCAGTACTCATTTCCATAGGTACCGTTTCAGATAATTTGTTTCAACAAGGTGGTTGACATTTTTATATCATATTATATATTCTATAGTACTAAAGAATCAATATTGATATCATTTATGATAAAATGCTAGGTGCGCATGTATAAAATACAGACAGTACATTGGTGTCATTATCACCACTTCATTGTACCATTGCTACCATTCTTTTCAATTTTTGCTACCATTTCCTTATTGCACCATTGCTACCATTTCTTTACTTCATTATTATTAATATTATTAATTATTATCATTGTTATTAACCGGTATTATTAATTCTTATTATTATTCATAATTACTGTCACCGTTTTTATTATTATGAATATTATGATGCTAATATGATTGATATTGCAATGATATTCCAGTTGTTATAATTTTTTAACCATTGCTTCTCTTTCAATAACAAATGATAATTCCAATCATTGCTTCTTCCATTGAAATGATTATGTCACTGTTGCAAAAAACATTGCAAAACCTAGGATCACTTTTAATGAGCATATTGTTATTTTCCATTATCATCATCAGGTGCATATTTAATTTTTGTTTCTTGCCCTCACTTCCTTTCAATTTCGTTTCATCGTCTTTAGCAGAAGTGTTTTGCTATACACACAACACACACAAGTTTTGTTTAATGTCATCAACGATAGCATCGTCAGATTGACTGTCCCCTCTGTTTTCTTTCGCATCCATTGATGGTGTGATCGGTACGATGATCGTCATCACCTTACTTACCTCTTTGTACCTATCGTCATCAGTTGTGTGCAATTAAACAATTCAACTTGCCACCTTCCGCATTTCATTCATCCCACACCGTCATATTTCCGCTGATCGCTCCAAAAATTCCTTCTGAATATATTTAATTTCTCTCTCTCTGTTTCCCTCTATATCTCACATTTTTCGTCATTTGTTCTTTTCTCTTGCTTTACTAATTTCAAAATTTTATAATTTTCATTCTTCCTTTTAAATTATAATCTAAAGAGTAGCATACTAGACAATAACAGAGAAATTCAACTTTATCATACGGTGGTGTATTAGAGATCACAACGACTAACAAAATCAGTTTCTTCTCTCCTCTTTCTCTCTCTCTCTCTCTCTCTCTCTCACTCTTTCTTTTTATTCAGTATTTTTTACTTTTTTGATATATAAAAATTTATTATTCGATTCGTAATTATCTTTTACATTAAATAAGCAAATCTTTTAGCCATTTGGAGAAGTTTGCATAAGCAAAAAATTTATCAAAATAATTTTAACCATTCTTTCAAAATATAAAAATAAATTTTAATATGACATAAATTTAAACTAAACAAATTTGTCTTCGCTTCTTAAATTGATCCATAATGCCTTCATATTTTACTATTATTTATATTGTTCATACCATTTTTAAATTTCTTAATGTTCTATTTTTTGCAAAATTGTACAAGTTTTGCAGGAAAGATGTAAAGGAAGAGAGAGAGTGAGAGAAAAAAAGTAGGTTTCTCTTTGATGTGAATACAGCTGTAAATATGTTTCATTGTGAAAATTTTAAAAAAAGATAAGAATAAAAAATAAAAACGAAAATATTTTATTGCATATTAACGTATCATCGATATTTAGAGGAATTAATTTAGGTCAATTCTTTCCTTTTCTTTTCTTCCTTCTGTTCATTATATATTCATCAAAAAATCTTTTATTATAATTCATACCTTTTGCTTTATATTCCATAAGTTCTTTTTTTCCTTTCCCTTTTTTTAATTTTTAAATTTTGACCTGATTTTAATTCTTTGTTTTCATTTAGTAAAGTAGACTAAATTTGGTAGTAATTTATGATGACTGTATGTTAGAATGAAATAAAAGTAGAATGTTTTTTTTGACGACTGATTATTGATATATTTATTAGGTAATTGGTGAAAATTAAGAAGAATTGAAATGATAATTAAAATTTTGAAAGATCATTTTTGCTTGATAATATTCGGTTTATTGATTACCTGATACATTTTATTATTTCTTACTTTACTTATTAATTTCTCTCTTATCTATCATTTACTTAGTGATAAACTTCTCTCATAATCAAATTCAACTTACTAATTTATCTTGTTTTAGAATATGGTAAGGAACAAGCGATTGAAATTAGATATTACAATTATGTCTAATAAATGTTTAATCATTTTAAAAATTTTGCTCCATCGAAGAATATCATCATTTTATTGCTCAAATCTATGTACGTATCATATCTGATCATCGTATCTTTTATCCCCTTTTTTTCAACTGTAATAAAAAAAAGTTTGATAATGATCGCTGCATTTCATTTTATTTTTTTCGTATCACCATAGAATGAAAAATTTCTCGTCGCTAATTTGCATATCGAATGATCGTCATCTATCGTTTTCTTTTTTTATTCGATGGATAGTAAAAAGAAATGAGAATGATTGAAATGTGTAAAGAAGTATTCTCAACTATAATACTTCTTTAGTAAGATTTTTTTTTTGAATGAAAAAAGACTGATATATCTCGGATATTCTGATAATTAATTATACATCAAAATATATAACTTATTGTTATATATTATTGATATTACTTTAGTTTTTTATCGGTTTCTTCTTTGTTTCTGTTATGACGTAAACCATTTGGTATCGTCGATACATTCGGCGCAAAAATTCCATTCCAATTGATCATTATCGCAACGAATAGAAGAAATGGAAAAGAGGAAAGGGGAAAAAATATTTTAATGAATTTTTTTTACATATTTGCCAATCGCTTCTTCGTTTTTTTCATTCCAACTGAAGGAATGCTATTTTCGTCAAAACCATTAATAATATTATCATGATCAATAATATCATTGATAATATTACTAATGGTTATCAATGATAATATTGATGATGATAGTGATGATACTACTCCATTATCAATTATTATCATTAATAGAGGATTTATTACCATTATTTTATCATTAACACCATTAGCAATATTTGTCTATAACAGTACATGAATTATTACTATTGTCTTCATGGTCAGAATCATTGACAACATTATCATCATCATTATATCGATGCCATTCGCCTTATCATTATCACTGCCTGAGATATTATTATCATCGGTAGAGCAATTATTATTTTCATCATTAGTAATGTTTTAATATTATCATTATGTTTTGCACTATTATCACAATTAATATTTTCTCTGTCGTCACCATTATTTTTATCACTATTCGCACATTGTTATCGTTTATATCATCATTATCGTCATATCATTTTTTGTCTTTTCTTTTTAAATAATTATCATCATTCCTATCATTCTTAGCAATATGATTTCGTCATTTTTTTTCTATACTAATCTTATATGAAACATCAAAATTCAATGATTTCATCCGATAATTTCAATTGATAATGCTGATAACTTCATTTATTAGATATATGTATTTAATTTTAGTCTTTCTAGGGTGTAGCGGGAAGGTGAGAAGGGAAGAAGATTAATAAATTGTTAAAATTCTTTGAAGAAAAGAAATGATTATTCAGTAGACAATTTGTCAACAAATTTTCTGAAATAATTTAGTGGTAAAGAATTGGGCAAATGGATCGAGATAGTGCATAAATTAAACGGCAATGAATAATCGGCTGAGTAAACAAAAGTAATGGTATAAATTAGGAAAGTAAACAGAGAAATTCAAAGCTCCTAATAATACATTTATTCAAACTTGCAACATCCTCCGTCGACATTTTAGTTTTCATTCACCAGCAGAATGTAATTAATTGATTAATTAGTTACACATTAATTTTTGATATTGATTGTGAAGTAAAAATGAATTCCGTATCCATCTATCATAATGCTAAAAAAAAGGGAGTTGAAGGACCATATTCAATTAAACTATTTTTTCTTAGGCTTAATTTAAATTTCTTTTTGACTTTATGGTTGGATGAATTATCCATTAATTTGTTGCTCTATTGGATGCTATATAATTTAGAACATAAACTGTATCTTAAATGAACAAAATTGAAGTAATCCATATAAATTGATATATAAATAATAAATTCATACATTTTGAAAAAATGACACCAAAAAGTGTTAAAATCAAAAGTGTCAATTTTATTTGGCTTAGTAAAATTTAAAAAATTTTAGCATTTCTACAGCTAAAGAAGTAATCATTTGAAATTTAATTATCCTAACTATTTCATTGTTCAACAATTACATTACATATAAATCATTTAAAGTGTTTAAAATTAATAATATCATAAAACTTAACCGAAAAGTTAAGAGCAGAAATAATTAGTTTAATATATAATAAACTATTAATTTATTTAATTACAAGAGTATCGATGCTCCTTTTTTTCGTTTGCTCTTTTTATTGTCATGTTTATTTGCATGAATATATAAAATTTAAATATGAAGCAAAAGACAAAAGAAAAAAATTGTTGATTATCTGCAGGAAGAAAAAATGCAATGATTATTATATCCAAAATGTTACATATGCCATTGAAATTAAAATGGGGCAAAAAAAGTGGTCGATACGATCTTAGCCAAGATATTTATGTATTAACTGTCTATCTCGGTGATTATCCTATCCTACAATGTACGCTAACAACAGAAAGTACCGCAAGCCAATGTATGGAATATCTTAGCCAAAAAGTTGACCTTAATCAGGTTAGTTAAATAGAAATTTAATTTGAAAAAAAGAAACAGAACAAAAATTGTAATGAAAATAACCAAAAGGAAAAAAAGCCTAGAACTAGTTGTAATGAATATTTTTTTTGCTTTGGATAGTCTCATATTATAGGATATAGATGAATAACAATTAATGAAGTGATTGGATCTATAAAATATATTTATAGGTAAGATATGCTATACGTGGCTTACGTGAAACAATAATAAATTTTTTTTTTGTTCTTTGCATTCACATTTTAAAATTTTATCTGATTATTTTATCACAACTTTTGCTTATTTTTTTTCTAACCATATTAATTAGTTAAAAAAAGATGTTTTAATTTACTACAGGTAGAAATGTTTGGCTTACGATATCAAATGAAAACAAATGATCCGGATAATCGTATGATGCGTTGGGTAGAACTTGATAAGCCATTAAGGCGTCAACTCGAGAAATGGGCATGCAAACCACGACAAGTACAATTGGCCGTCCTTTATCATACACCAAATGCATTTACATTAACTGATCAAATGGCTAGGTTAACAAAAAATCAGTTATGATAGTTTGAATAAAATGATTTGCGGCAAAAGGCCTATAAAATCTATTGTATTAAAAGACATGATTTCAGAAAAGAAAGAAAAAGGAAAGTTGAGAAGATTTGAAATCATTGATAGAACTATTCAACATTTTTTTGCATACACCAATTATGATACATTTAATTTATATGATAAGAAAAAACATCGTTCTTTTATTTTATGGTATAAATAAATAAAAAAGAATTCTGCTAAATTTTCTGCTAAAATGTTTTTTTCTCGGATTGATATATATTAAATATTGTTGACAGAAGTATTAATGGAATGATGTTTAGACATTCTGCTAAAACAAGAAGAAAAAGCTTTTTATTTTCAATGAAATTAAAAAGAGGAGAAAAAATTATTCCATTTCAAAAGATTGTGGTAGCAAGAAAATTTTTCAGATCATACTATTTTTTCCTGATGAAATTGGATGTTGTTGAAGGTAAATTGACAGTTGCCCTCGAAAAATATATCAATCTTGCAGCATATAGTCTTCAAGGTTAGCTAATTTCTATTGATTGAAGGAAAAATAAAATAAAACAAAAGACAAAAGAATTTATTAAATTATATTCGAAATGTTTGAGAGTGTACAAATAATAATAATGAAATTGTTGAAATTTAATTAGTTTCTTTTCTTTTCTTTTTAATTTTTATGCATTTTATTTCGGAAAAATTTAAATGAAATAAAAATTAAAATTAAATTTTTTGTTCAAACATTCAACAAATACATTTTCCTTCTTTATTTGCAAAAAAATTTTGTTCTGATCGTAAAATAAAATATATTTGTTTAATTCTTTTTACCTTTAAATTTCGCTTTTATTAATAATATTTGATTAATTCTTTATATCATTAAAATTTAAATAATTGTTTACGGTAAATGTGTAAAAGTACAAAGTTATTTGGGTTTGTGTACTTTCGTAAAAGGTTTATGATAAATTTACCACTGGTTACAAGGCATAGTATAATTTTAAATTTAAAATTTTGTTTTTATCTTTCATTCTCAAATTTATTTATTTATTTAGTAATAAGTGGTTGAAAAATTTTTAAGAACTTATCAAATTTTATTTCAATTTATTTCAATCATTCCATTAATAATAAATTTATCAAATAATTTTTGTTCTTTACTTAATATTAATTCATTTTTTAAACGATTATTTCGTTTTTCTGATAAAATTATATTTGAAATTTCAATTTATTTTCAAATTATTTTTATTTATTCCAATAATTATTATTGTTTTCGTTCAATTATAAAATAATTACTTTCATTTCCTTCGTTTTATTTGCATTCTCGTTTTAAAATTGCTTATTTTAGTGGAATACGGTGATTTTGACCCAACAATACATACAATTGATTTTATGCAAACTGTACCTCTCTTACCAAAGGTATTGAATATTATCAATTGTTATCAATATGTAGTAATTATTAAATGTTAAATAATTATTGAATGTTATCAATGTGTAGTAATTATTGCAGCAGACAATTATTATTCTTTTTTTTCTTGAAAGATTCCAAAATTTTATTTAAATTTTGTCTGTAAAATAAGAGTGATAATAATAAATAATAATTTTTTGAAAATTTAAAATTTTATCCTAAAATAGTAGTAGTGATAAAATTTATAGTTTTCTCTAACATTTAATTTAATTTTTCTTTAAAATTTCGATCCTAAAATTCGAGCAATAGAAATTTCTGATAATTTTTTCAAAAAATTTTCATCTGATTTAAAAATTAAGAATTTTAATTAGTATTTTAATAGTAAACATTTCACTGTATTTATTTACAACGTGAAAAATTTTGATCCTTAAATAATAATAGTAGTAATAATAATTATAATAATAGCAATAATAACTAATAACTTTTTTTAAACTTTAAAAAAATTTAATACTAAACATTTCATTGTATTTATTCACAGCATATCTGCCGAAGTGCGCAAATTCAAGAAGATTTGTTGAAGAGAGTTGCGGCGGTACATGAACGACTTAAAGGAATGCAACCAAGCTATGCTGCATTACTGTATATCGTCGATGCACAACAATGTGAAGGCTATGGAGAAGAATATTTTATTGGAAAGGTAGAAGGATAATATTAAATATTTTACTGAGTTAAATTGAAAAAAGTTGATTGATGCTAATTGATTATTAAATATTTAATGCAATTTTTGTTTACCTTTCATAATAATAACCTTAACAAAATGCAGTGAATTAACTCATTTTGACTTACTTAAATCAACTTATATATTGTAAAAAGAAAAAAGAAAATTGGTATATTTTCAGGATGAAGATAGTACTGAGGTAAAGATTGGATATTCTCAGGAAGGCATTATTATCAAAGGATCCTATGATGCACCATTAAGACATAAGTAAATCCGTAAAATTATTTTCAAATTCTTCGTATATGTCGATCGAAAAAAGATTTGTTAAAATTCACTTTTTCGAAAATCACGAAGAAACAAACTCCCCGAAATTAAGTGTGCTCTTGAATGTACAAATCAAATTTATTGATTTTGGATGGGAACATATCAAGGATATGCAAGCAATGAAACGACATCTAAATGTTCGACTTCATAACGGAACTTCAGTTCAATTTACTATGGTATATATATATGATGCTATTATTATTTACTATTTGATATTTTAAAATTAGAAGAAAATTTATTAGCTAATTAAAAAATTAATTAATTAATAAAAAAGTTGAAATAATTCACTTCTTCGGAGAAATTTTCATTTTTAAATTAAAATTTTATGCAGGAAGATGAAGAAATGGCACGTTACGTAGCAATGGTAATGATGTGGCAATTTCGTTATGCAACAAATAAAGCAATCATTGAGAAAAATAGTCCAATGAAGTAAAAATTCATCTATATGAAATATATAAATTTATATAACATAATTTAAATTCGACTAAATTTAAAAATGAAATATTGTGATGCTAAAATTATCGTTTAGAATAATCCTTTTCATTGTTTTTTTTCATTTAAATTTTTATAATTTTTTAATTTATTACCTTTTCTCTTAACAAAATTTATTTATTTCATCAATAAATTTTAAATTTTTAATGAATGAATATTTTATGAAAGTTTCGTTATACAAAAGAAATTTTTTTCTTTGAAATGGAATTTGAATTAAAATTTTACTTAACATTGAAGGGTTGAAATATTGAAATTTCAAAATATTTCATCTTAAAGTTAAAGTTTTCTATAATTAATATAAATAATTGATGATTTATTGAAAAAAAAATCTAATTTTTGCAGTATCAATAATTTACAAGGAAGTATCCGGACGTTCAATCAAATGAGATCATCAAATGCTGAAGTAAGTAATTTATTATCATAAAATTCGATATTTTTTAAATTCACAATTTTAGGAGAATTTTTTTCATAAATAGAAATTTATTCTTATTATGCCTTCATAATTTTACAATAAAAAAAGCTTTTATACCATTAAGATTAAAAAAATATTAATTATGAAATAATTGAAGTTTGATAAAATGTTAGTTGAGAAATTTACAGCTCAATTCAACTCGTTTAATTGGACCAGATTATGCGTCATTAATTTATACAATGATGCCTGAGCCGACATATTGCTCATCCACGCAACATCTGCCATCATCGAAAAGACTGCAGCGTACATCACTTTTACAGGCTACGTCAATGTGTAATCTATCAACCAATACTGGTTCCAATGAAACTCAATCATCAAAACGTTCACCGTTAACATCGTTATTACAAAATAATAAATCAGAAAATGGTATATCATTTTATGAATTAAAAATTATCTGGAAATCATTTTCTCTAATCCAATCCTTAAATTATTGATTGTTTCTACTAGTAAAAATAGATAAATAAAAATAATTATTATTGTACTTCGCAAAAGTAATTTATTCATTTTAGTTATTAATTGAAAAAAAATAAATTTTGAAATCTTAGATGCATGTAAAAGTATTAAGAAAATAATCTAATAACAAAGGTAGATATAGGCAAAAAATTTCATATTTCAAAATTAGATAATGAATGATTTTTAAGTTAACATATCCAAATGAATATTTCAAAATTAAAACATTGCGGATTGTTTGAAAACATTTTAATTATCAAAATTTATGATAATACTATCTCTGGCAATCTATTCTTTCGATGCACTAGTTGATAATAATTAGTCTTATATCATCTTATATCATTATATCATTTGGATATATTCACTTAGATATCTTAACTTAAAAATCATTTATCTTATTTTAGAATATGAAATTTAGTTACAAAATTTTATTTAATTAAAAATTCGATCAATTCTTGAAAATTAAAAAGCGATTGCAATTAATAATTTCAACAAGTATTGCTAATTCATTCTTATTACAAGGTCAAGCAAGTATGGAATTTGAAAATGTTTCCCGAAATATGCTATCAAAATCGACCGCGGCATTGAATTTTATGGATGACGAAGAATGTTTTTCACCACCAGGTGTTCTATATTGTTCAACTCCTTTCTTACAAAATAATGCGCAGGTTTTTGTTTTTTTTATTTTTTAAAAATATTTCTACTTTTCTCTTCAAAAATATTTCAAGTCAACATTATTTAAATTATGATAAAGCAGTGATAAAAATTGTTCATTATATCCTAAACCATTATTTTTCTGCTCTATGAGGTTCAAAAATCGGCTTTTGATTTTCAAAGGTACTTAAGTATTTGAGTACTCAACTGATGCCGCCTGATCAGGCTTTATCCACGTACAAAAGGCAACATTCGCCGTAAGACTTAATTGACATTATAATAATTAATTATTTCAATTAGTTGTGCTAAAAACTGATTAGCTGCAATGTTAATGGAATTAATTATTTTTGCAGAATGCATTGGAAGACACCAACGATGTGATTCCTTCGGTTGCTGAAGATAGTGCTCAAAAATTTGAATTTCATAGCGTTGCCGTTTTGCGAAAACGACATTTAGCTGATACGGTATTTTGTAAAATTTATAATTTATGATATAACAATGGTTTTACAATAAAAAATTAATATATACGAAATTAACATTAAAATGGAAAATATTAATCGATTGAAATTCAATAAAAATTTCAAAAGAAGAAGCTAATTTTTTGTTTTTTAAAAAAAGAGGAAAAAATTTTTTTTCAGATGACTGGTTCTTCACCGGAAATTCGTATGATCGGCGGTGGAACGCATACACTGGGTCGAAGCGCTGCGGCATTAGTGCACAAGTATTCCTTGCTCGCAAATGGATCTCATAAGGTATCATCATTGATGGATGATAAATAATTTCATTTGTTTATCTGAAGCAGCTAATTCAATCATTAATGATATAAATGATGAATGTAATTTAAAAATAAATTAATGATTTGATGAAAGCGTACCGGAAATTCTCCAATAAATTAATTGATAATTCTGAGAGTAAAATTTTTACCTTTCTCAATTTGATTTCTAAAAGAAAAATGAGAAAACGGACAAGATAAAGTAGAACTGAAAACGTAATTATTTTGTAGATTTTAAAGGCTTTATACTACTATTCTTTGTATAAGATTTCCTTTTTAGTATCTTATCACTTCAACATTTTTATCATTGATATTGTGATGAAAAAAAACGAAAATTATTAACAGGCATCTCCGACCCATGCACTTAGCAGTCCGGATCTATTGAGTACTTGCCGTTCATCACCTGATCTTATCACGACCGTATTAGATCGATATCGATTAGCGGTAGCTGAAGCAGAATTACGAGCTGCTGCCGCTGTTTCGCAAAAGCCCTCGCAATTACAATATCTCAATGGTACCATTCAAACTGGCAGACATTGGCATACAATGAAAAGATGTGAAAATTATATGCTACCATCACCGCCGCCAATAAATGTCAAGTCGCAGGTATTCATTTTATTGATATGATGACACTTAACGGATATGGAATTTAATGATTTATCAACGTGATCGTTTTCAAATCTATACTGTTTCTCGCACAAACTTTCCAGTTTTCTTTTCCGAATTATAGTACCTTACTTAATGTTGACTGGCGAAAATTGTAGGAATATTCCAGTTAGTTGGATTTCGAACTCTGTCCTTGTTCATTTTAAATAATTTTGAAGATTATAGCCCAACAAGGATGAGGAATCACAACGAACTAGTGACAGTACTAAAACAGCCACATTAGCGGGAAGATTTATGATGATGGAAGTAGCTGACGCAAAGGCCAAAGAGCATATATCAAAAGATACTGTGAGACCAAAAATACTGAAAAGACCATTGCCCATAATATCCTCTTCCTCACAAGCATCATTCTATCACCGCCCCACAGCATCGAAAGTTAAAGGTCAGGCCCATCCTATTTCTTACTTAGCCCAAGCCGGGCATATCTATTACCCTCCCTCATCGCCGCTTGCGCAAATTCGTGAGGTTTACCGTCAGCAGAATGGCGAAACAAGTGGCTTTGGTAGTCTGAATGAGCCAATATACGCTAACAATGCGCTGAAAAAATCATCGATAATTTCCGCACCTCATCGGTATGAGGTGATTGAGGAAGGTCGAACTCCGGAATCTTTCGTTCGTCGGGTTCATGAACTCTGCATACCCTTGTCTTGCGGTGCTAGCAGAGAACTTCCGGCTCGAAATCAAGCCCTGACCATATCATCACCACGAAGCATTTCGTCACCTGATGTTTTCAATAATCGCACCAAAAATCCAATATCCAAGCAATTGAGCACTTTATCGGCTGATTCATCACAGCCTGCTATTATTCGACCAGTTGCTGCACTAGAACAGTTTTTGTGCGGGGATGATTCCGAGAATTTCCCATCTCCAGCGATGATCAGTGAATCGTCAGAATGTACTGTTTGTGACAAAGCAACAAATATCTGTGAAGCGGTAAGTTACTTTATTACTTCTTTTTATCTCCGCTAACTTCTTTTAATCGTGTCATTAATTCTTTCATCAGTCTTTATGCAAAGGTGACACACATACGCATCGCATCAAATGTAAATTAATACATGGAAGATCAAATTATTTGGATTGATCAAATTAGCATAATTAATAATTTCTTTGTTGTCGTCTTCTATCGATTTAATTAATATTTTATCGTATTTAAATTTTTATTTTATTTCAATTTTAAGGATCAGAATTTTTTCAATTTGTTTCCAATTTACAACAAAAATTCCATAAATTCCTTCGTTTTTTGTTAATAGAAAAGAGAAAGAAATGACCGTTTAGTTAAATTCATACAATTCTAAATTTGTTTACAAATTTCTCCTTTTGATTGTTGTTGACCTTCGCATTGTATTAATTTTGAAATGATTTCAAGGTGGAAATGGCTATCGTATAAAGTAAATAATTTTTGTTTTTTAATAAGTATATAATATCCTGTTCTCGGTTTGTTCTATCCCGAAATATTATGCCATACCTGCGCAATCGGGAACAATTATTATCTTGCTGGGTTTTAAATGATAGTCTCTTATTACATATAAAGAAAATTTCATGTGAAATTGTAATATTGTTGTCAATAACTCTCAGAAGTAAAATCCATCTGAATTAAATTAAAATCTTTATTAAATTCCATTTTCTTTTCTCTTTATTGCTTCTTTCATTTCATCTATTTTCCTTACAACTCTTCCTTACAAATTCTAACAATAAATCCAACTCTCAGATGATAATGATACATATTTGTTCCGCTTATCCGATATCTTCCTATCCATATTTCTTCTCCTTCATCCTTTAAAATCTTTCTATTTACGGGAGAATTTCGGATAAGGAAATGCTCTTGTACTATTTTATGATTTCCTATTTCCATATTATATATTCTAGTAATGTTCAATTTCTCGGATATCAAGGTATAATTTTCATCGTGTCATTTTATTCAGGCGCTTAATTATGAAAAGGAATGTTATACCTTATAGTATCAGGGAAAAAAGGATCAATTAGTTCCAAAGGTCAGAATGTGTCAGTAAAAGTTTTATTATAGTCGTTACTATGGTAAATGTTCATTTCAGGTTGTTAGGAAGGTCTTAAATTTATCTGTCTGCCTGTTTCCGTTTAGCAATTGTAATTTTTTTTCACTTTGTTCCTTCTTTTCAACCATTGAATATATTTTTTGACTTTCATTGCTTTGATAACAGATGAAGCGTTTTATGTGAACAGATATTTCACATTTAATTGCGATATAAATATGGCCTTTTACTTTCTAAACAATACTAATGCATTGCTCTATACAATATCAAAAGATATTTGGCAGGCGGGTTTTGATGAATGACCAATGGATCGATATGTCCATTTTATTATTCCAAATCAAACATAATCAATTTTACTCAAAATCTATGGTTAATCGATACATTTTTAATTTCTGAATTGGTAAATTTTTTGATGTTTTATATATAAGAATAAGTTTTGAAGGATTTTGTTCAAAACGAGGAATTATTGGTTAACCGGGAGTTCAACGTGATTGAATCAGTCGAAGAGATGTCACAACCATCTTCCATACGACACGAAATGATGAACGATGTACTGCAACGGCATTTCATAAGCTCTCATGGACATTTTATCGATTTGCTCGGTACGACACCGATGAATGATCGACTGTCAATTCCAACTAATGATCAAACCGTTAGTTTATTAAAGCGAACAGTTATGTTAGGAGTGAGCCGTAATAAAGTAAGGTGCTTACTCTTTATCTCCAGTTTTGGCCACTCAATTTAGGAGTGCGAAATTGATTAGTTACCGACAATAATAAATGTTAACGTTGACAGTAATTAAGCAAGACATGATTACTTCATGAACAAATTAGAGATTACGCCATAAGCATAACGTATGTAAATACTTCACATAACCTACTTAATAGTTATACGTGTTTTGCATCTGAAATATTTTTTTAAGCTGAAAAGACTTTTGGCAAAATTAACAGCTGACGATGTTTTGGATGAAGAATTCGCGGTGATTCCGAATCGACGTATGTCCGCTGGTGTGTCAACGAGCCAGAAACCTGAAAATATGGTAGGGATTTCCGAATTATGATGTAAAGAGATGGTACTAAAAATATAGGAATACTTTCTCGACTTATCTCTCAAAGATTTTCCTTACTGTGATTTTAAAACAATTCATTTGACTATTTAAATTGTAGCTTCAATGGATAGCTCTTGAAAAATTAATGACAAATGATATACTGCAAGATTATTTCTACTTTTATGGGTAAAAAGAAAAAAATAGAAATTTTGAATTTGTTGAACTTGCCAAGTTCGAACTTGGCAAGTTTTCAAAAAATCATTGAATTTTCAGAAGCGAAATCGTACACGGTCGATAGTACCATATGAAGACACACGAATTATATTACAATCGAAACAGTCCAATCCAACAGGATACATTAATGCTTCAAATATTCAGGTAAATGAGCTTCTAAAAATTTATGAATTTCCAAAAACCTGTCCTTGCTAAATTTTCTTGTCATAGATTCCAATCGGCAACCGAATTTTGCGATATATATTGACACAGGCTCCACTTCCGGATACCATCGAAGATTTCTGGCAGATGATTTGGGAATCCGGCTCACATCTTATCGTTATGCTTTACAATACTCAGGTAAAGCGAGATTTTTCTGATTCTGTTAACCATCAATCATCCGAATAAGAAGAAATCGATGCCATTGATCACAAGCAATAAAAGTCAATCGATATGATAAATAGGAAAACAATTCTTAAAAAATTTAATTAACATTTCTAAGATGGAATTTCTATATCTCAATTTATTTATAACTTCACATGAATGATTTAAAGGGAGTATACAGATAAAACATTAATAATGCGTGTGTAACAGAGGGATGAAGAGCTATGTGATTTGAAGTAAGTAATTTGATAATCAAGCAGAAATGAACATTATATTTTTGCTTTTCAATTGTATGAAATATGCCTTTAGGATTTTAAAAGTACTACAACACCCATTTATTGGCCAACGAAATTAATGGACAAGCTACAGTTATCAGATCATTCACTCACGTTACTTTCGAATACGTCAAGTAAACATCAAGTAACAATGATGTTTCAATTGAAGAAGAATTCGAGTGGCGAACGACGAACTATTTATCATCTCAGGTTGTTGGATTGGGAAAGCGGTGGAATACCGCCTAGTGAGGAGTCGTTCCTCGGTCAGTTTTAATCACTTCTTTAATACCGTCCTTAAATGTTCGTTGCTTTGAACTTCTAGGAATGACTGGTAGTGACTATTTAGGATACAATTATCGCATTCCAAGTTCTCATTAGGTATTAACAAAATATGTCTTCTAGTTTTTTTGTTTTTTAATGTTTTATTTTGTTTTCTTTCTTCTAGGATTTATGGATGCTGTCAATAGTGTTCGACGACACTTGGAAAATGAGCAGTTGAAGGAAACAAATTCTGGAATGGTATCAGGATCCAGAAAAAATCGAAATAATTGCCATGTAAGATTATTAAGTTTCCGTCATAATTTCCCGGATATAGTAATCTTCTCAAAAAATATTTTGCAGTTAATTTTAATGGATCCAACAAATCGAAGTAGGGCACAACCGACTGATTTTGGTCACTACAATTGGTGTAAAAAAGGATTGCATATGGTCAATTATGCATTGCATTATTCGCCCTTTGGGTAACTTTTTACGCCATAAGTAACAAAAGAAAAGTGAGGAGAAAATTGGAAGTTAAATTGTATCTCAGATATTTCTGTCAAATATTGTTGAAAAAGCTGAAGTGAAAAACAAGTTATAGTCATTCGGATATCTCATCCGAATTTCCATCTGCTGGAAGAAATAAAGGAATGTTAGATGTGATTGCATCACCTACCGTAATACACTGTCTAACTGGTGCTCACGAATCCGGCGTTTACCTGCTTGTGGAACTGATGATCCACTGCATTGAGCACAATATGGTATGTACATTTGTAATAAGGAATGATAGTGACAAAATTGATTCCTGATAAATGGTTATCAATTATCACTTAACTGAAACTTATAAGTCAATCCTCAATCATATTCAGTTCCTAACGAAAATTTGAGTAGCAAGATCCTAAAATTAATATTTCCAATAGCCGATGATTTTGTTTGAAGCTGTAGGATATGAGAGTATCTATTGATGAGAAATAACCACGTCAGTAACGCACTTTTACTTCTACCCAGTAATAGCTCACCTCGGAATTTCCGGTCTCGTCTTACCACCTTTCTATTGAATTTCTGCAGCTATATACCACAATGATATCAAATCAGTCCAACTTACTAAAAAATAAACTGTTCAGTGTGTGGATATCGGCAAAACATTGGGAATGTTACGGCAACAGCGGATGTGTCTGGTGAAAAATGTGGAACAATATCGCTTTGTATATTCAGTACTAATCAAATATTTGCAAAAATCTCGGCTCATATAAAAAAATATTGTGTTACGCGGTACGATTGAATTAGCAATTAATCCTGCTTCTTCACAAAAAAATTCAAAAATTTCGGCAGTTCTTCCCTTACCATAATATTTAGTTATTTTTTGATAAATGTAAAGTTAGTTTTGAAACGGTGTCGCCATCCAGTTATTGAGTTCATTTTGCAAAACAGAAGAATCCAAATGCAAGTAAAGTACTTCAGGTAATCCGGCTTTCCTGTGGCACTTTTTTAATTCAATTTAGCAAAATCAAAATTCATTTAATTGTTTGTACGCATATGATTGCATTGCGTATATTTTGAATGCAAATTTGCTCAATCAAATTTTGGCACATTTAATCGTTTGTTCATTTATATTTTAATATTTTTGTTCATATGTAACATTCCCATTTGCCGATGTATAATAAACACATTTATAATCGCTGTTTCCTATAACAATGGTATTTGACCTTCAAGTAGGACTGAAATTAATTTCAAATGAATCAAACAAACAAAAAGACAAGGAACGGGAAAATTCGTCAATTAAAATCGCTATAGGATGAATCCACGTTTTAATAAGTAATTCGTATTTAATTTCATTTTCAGTAAAATTATGTAGAGTCAAAGAAATCATTCCACAATAAAACACTTCGAAATATGCCGTACATTAAGCACTTCCCTACTAGTCACTTCTGATCACCATCCGGTAAATGATCCATCTCATGGGATCCTTCATTACTTCAAATGCATCAGATACTGATATATTATTATTAAACATGAATTAAAAATATCATTACCACTACTTATTGACGCAGCTTTTCGTTCTCGATAAATCGTCTATAAAATTATAGGAGAAACTTCGAAGGAGAGAAAACTCGATTCTCAAGAACAGTATACAATATGAAGAGTACTGCAATGATCAATAAAAGATAGCTTTTTGAGAACAGAGTGAAAGACTCAAGGAATGTATATATAATTCTTAAAAAAAAACTTAACTTCCGTCCCACTATTATTGCTGAATTAAAAAGAAGAGTAAATGGGTCGTCATTTGTATATTTTATGGTAAAATCTTTGAAATAAATGAATGAAGCCAGAGTAATCTATCTACCCGATTATTAGATACGTGTTAAATTAAATGTTTATGTTAACGCAATACCACGATAAGCACAAAATTGTTGCCGCTTATTTAAAGGCCAACTTTTATACAGTTTAATTTCAATTATACAGAATCGTCACTGGTAAAACGTCCTCTTCCTAATCGCACGCAATCATCAACTGACGATGAACGCTCTAAAGTGCGACGAATAGCATCTTCGTGTCTAAAATATAACATATTTCAATTGATAAAAGTAAGCTAATGAAAGGCGAAAATTTTACAGAACAGCACATGATGATATTTTAATACAAAACAAAAAATGCAAAAATAGAACTAAATTGTCGAAAACCAGATCTTCTATTATTTCATAGCTAAGAGTACTAACATGGATATTCCGGGGTATATTACACAACCACGAAATCCATCGATTTGATATAAATCGTTCATTACGGCTCTGATATCACCATTAAAAGTATCGTGGAAAACGAAGCCATTCTCGGTTTCAGTCCAGTTAATTAAATAATTCCGTTTGGTTGAAATTAACAGCTTACGTCGTCTCAAATTCAGACGTTGTAGACTTTCAATATTAACCTAAAAAAATATCTCTATCATTTCGCGAACGAATTCATATTTATCTGCAAAATTCACTGTATTATTCCTGATCAAGAGCAAACTTGGTTTTGAAACCTATTACAGTTCCAAGGCTTTTTGTAGAAATAACGATGTCTGTGGTTTTTCTGCCATCAATCCAATAATTTCCAAGCAGAAGGTATATAATGCTTTTTAATAAATTCCTCCATATTTAAATGGCTCATATGTCCTTCAAAACTAAAGCCGAAAACCAATCACAAAATGAATTTTGTAATGATTTCATGAATCTCGTGCCCTTCCTTAAGAAGCAAATACCTTATTTCCATGAAGTCTGAGAAAACGTAAATTTGGCAAATCGTCATCGCTCAGATTACTCCAAATCTCATCTTTATAACAATCCCCGAGATGGCTTAGATCCAAAAAAACTAAGTTCCTGTAACAAATGTGCTAACTTTGTGTATAAGAAAACGCCGCAGAAACAAATAATGGAAAGCCTAGAAAAAATAGAAAATGAATATTTCAAACATTGTAATATTTAAAAAAACATTCTGATGAACCGAAATTAAAAAAATTATTTACTTGAAGTTCTTGATGATAGAAGGCATAATTTCATCATGAAATATTGAATATTTATTGTATGGTATACCAAGTGTTTTCAAATTTGGACAACTGCAATGAGTTATATCGCAATACCACTTTTCTCAGTATATTCATAATACAAACTATTTACTAAGATAATCAAAGAAATATTGTGTAATGATTCCTTGCGTCCTAATATACTCTTCATCGAAAATTAACTCACTTCTGGTCAATGGCGTCGAATAGATCACTCGTGCCTCCATAGAAACTTGCAATTATTAAATGCTGTAGTTTGAATGGGAATGAATTCTCAGGATCCCTCTCTGGCAAAGTGAATAAATCAATCAATCCAGTGGATGAAATGTTACAATCCTCGCCACCGAAATATATCCTTAGTTCCTCCAGGTTGTGCAAGTTCTGTAATTTTAAATAGTGTGAGAATCAAACACTTCCTAATGTTTATAATCAGAACGTTAATTTATGGTCAGAACGCCAATGATTAAATTAGTAGCATTAAGACCTTTCGCACTAAAATGTATAAAACATTGAACCGTTTGTTAATTAAAAAAATGTCAGACTTAATTAAATTCAGAATACATATTCCTTTAATGCTTTTTATATATATAAATTTTTACATACATTTTTACATATACAAAAATATATAAATCCGGAAATATAATATTATCTGCCCGCATTACGCAATTTAATATAACTGAATTTTTAGGAGTAAAAGACAAATTTTGAAGAGCGCCCAGATTCTTCTCTATTTGTGTCGATTAAATGATTCGAACTTCTAACTTTTGGCAGGGTAAATTGATAGTTTTAGTGTACATATTATCCGAGGTACTTTTCTTGCCTTTATATGCACAAAGTGTTCATCGAAGGCGTAAAGACTCATATTCAATGAAAAAACTTTCAAATTTTGCAAGAGGCCAATATATTCAATGTCTTCGTTTTCAATAAATTCAAGAAAAAGCTCAGTAAGAGTTAACCGCCATGCAGAAGTTCTAATCTCGGAGAAACTGAAAAGCAGTGATATTAACAAATATATCTATGATATTACAGAAGTCGGCAAGAGCAATGTCTAATGAAACATAAATAAACTAAGACAAATTATAAAGCACGATACCATATGACTGTTTCAAAAAATGGTCGAACTCGAATAATCTGTGCTGAAGGGATTTCATAAGAAAACACACATACTTGATACGACCTGCCCCGTTATGAATATGTAATAAATTCAGCGGACGTTTGCACGCCGGCAATTTTGGGCCATAGTCACTTATATCACCAATGAAGAAATTTTGCACTTTCGGAAAAATGTTTTCATCTTCAAATAACATTTTCAACGTTTGCTTCCATTCGTCTATACCACCATTACGGCTTGAACACTAAAAAAACGCAATATACAAATCGCAAAATATCAAAAATGATTTTATTAAATTGTAAACCAAAATCGCTTTTGCCCAAACTATAATGTTAAACATTGAAACAAATGTTCAAAATGAGCGGCGACTAATAGTCAAAGAAGTAATAAATAAAACTTGTTCAAGTGATGAAAATTTGACGGAAATGACAATAATAGTGTCATCGAGTTTGTAACACAATTTCGTAATAAAATAATTTATGAAATTTAGAACATGATTCATACTCGTTTTAATCTCTCCAAATGCAATGTTTTAACATTGGGGAAGCAATATGATAACTTTTCCAACAACGTAGTATTCATTTCTGAAAAAATCGTGGTTTAAATGGAAAATATTTAAATTGCAAGAATTTTAATTCTCACCAAAATCTTTTAATTTAAATTCCTTCTTTTTATTCTAGCTAAACATAGTGATTTCAATCTGAACCTTTAAAAGATCCAATATCGAGATGGATCACGTTAGGAAAACAAATGTCGAATAATGCGTTAACGCGAGTAGACGGTAAGGGCACAGAACAATCAATGCACAGTTTCCGAAGATATTGTGAAGTCTGAAAATATACAAAAAGAGTGTACAAATTTTTACACAGCGATTTATCAATTAGCAAAAGTAGAAAATGGAAAGAAAATAATTTCAAAACACAATAATAAGTCTGTCCCCGTGGCTTCGATTAATTATGACCCATAAACTACAATTTTCTACATTGATTACTAAGTATTATTAAGCAAAAAATATTCGCTAAAGCATACCCTCTGAAAAAATGTCTTCACACTGTCATATTTCAACGAGAGACCGTTAACTATTACCCGAACTTCAGTGAAGAGAGTGGGATGATTTGCTAAATAATTCCAACGGCGACAAACCAAAGAGAAACAATGAATCAAATCAATTGGATGACAATAAGAAAATATTGCCAGCAATATATCATTTGACAAATCGTTTATTGTAATGAGCGTTTCCTTAATGAATTATAGTTGAAAGAATTTTCATTTGGTTTGGTTATAATGGTTATTAGTAGTTCTTAACACTGTATGATGAAAAATACCTTCACATTTGAGTCGGCAGTAAATCTATTAACGTTCACTTCACTTCCGTTTGAGATCTGAAAATTTTTTGTTATTCTTCTGCTGAAGATTAAAACAAAGAAAGAAGATTAGAAAGTCTGATTTGCTGCACCGCATGAATCACCTGCGACTTCAGATTGTTGGCACTACGTCGAGAAGACGAGTAAACGCTATCGCCAAGTTGTATTAACGGATAATATGTCTGCATCCGAAAGGCATAAGCTCTAAAATTAATTAAGAATCAAATAAGAAATAATCTGTATTGTCTGTTATTCGGTAGAAATGAAATCTGAGGAAGGGATATCACTCAAATCACAATATCTGGGACAAAATCTGCTTCTTGAACTATATATAACAACACCTTCAATAGAAGAAAACTTACGCCTTAAAAAACTTATATTTCCTATCTATAGTGTCATATTTGTGCGATACAGGCCAGTACTGCCCGGGCGATTCCGTTATAGCATCCATTCTAAAAAATTCATATTGTCTATAATGCGGGAAAAAACTGATTTATTAAGCAGTCTTTATCATCGAAATTCCATATGTTAAGAGCGAAGATAATTTTTCGATAGAAACCAACAAAAAATAAAGGAATGAAAGAGTTTTGATAGACTTTAATTGAACTGTCATTGAATTTTCAACATCAAGTGGAAAAACAGACTGATTTCACGACAGCAACAACATATTGACAGTCACACGTGATGATTCAAACGAAGTGTTCGACGCTTGCAGCAGTAAATTCTTTTCAAAATTCGAAAAATGATGTTGATAGCGGAGCGGAATGGAAAAGAAAACTAAAGATGAACGAATTTGAGGGGGAAAGACGGAAGATATAAGGGTGAAAAACGTGGAACAATATCGCTTTGTATATTCCATACTAATCGATAACTAATTCCAAATGAATCAAACATGCAAAAAGACAAAGAACGGAAAAACTCGTGCAAACATTTTAATCTTCCCCAGCACATTTCGAATGAATATATGTTTACTCATTAGATGATTTCCGTAAGAATTTCTGAATAATTTACTAAAATTCAGTTTAAATCCAACCTGAAATAATTTTTAATCAAATTCTGATAATTTTTAATTAAATTTTGCATCTGTCATCCTTAACCCTAGATCTCAACTAGTAGTTTAGTAGTGTTGGCTGTCTTCTATCAAGATCTCCTATCAAGATAAAAATGAAAAGGCTTGCATATGTAGGAAGATAAACGTCATTCCTTATTATCATTGTTATTATCATTCATTATTTATTATTTATTATTATTATTTATTATTTATTTATTATTATTTATTATTTATTATTTATTTATTATTATTTATTATTTATTATTTTTTGTTATTATTATTATTATTATTATTATTATTATTATTATTATTATTATTATTATTATTATTATTATTATTATTATTATTATTATTATTATTATTTTCCAATAAATCAATGCATCGATTTAAATCAATCTGAAAATTATCAGATTGTATTAGATCATCGATTTTATCTCACAAATCGAATTACTCAGCACTATGCAATGTAAATAAAGACCGAAAAGAGAGATGAAATGAAAATTAGTTAGAATGAATTAGAATTTAAGAGTAAATTTGCTCATATCATTTTGCAAAAACTACATTTAAGAATATTTCATAAGTTTCTTTGGCTGATTCTCAAAATTTTTCTTCTAATGTATTAAATAAGCAATACTTACCGATGATTCTATTTCTTTTACGAAAAATGAAGAACGAGAGAAGACGGGATAGAGAGGGGAAGAAAATATCTACCTTAATTTGCTGGCTGAATCACTGGTGAGAATTTAAACATATATTTATCAACCCGTACAGCATTGAGAAAATACAAGTATATTACTTATGAGAGAGAGAGAGAAAGAGAAAACCACATCATTTATTTCCTTGCGAAATGTTTCCGGTTTAATTTATGTCAAAGTTTAACTCAGAATTGATGCATTTTTTCTAAACTTTTTAAAACGTACCTTGTTGAAGGTTAGATTGGCCTACCTATAAAGTGAAAAGAATTTGTTGAAGAAAATTATCAGTTTTCTTTCACGCAGACAACTCACGTCGGAAACCAAAAGTGATGTAGAAAACCAAATATAATATTATCGCAATATCAGATAGAGTATTTTACGGTTCATTAACAGCCTTAGAATAATTAGTTTTTGATGTCTTCGCAATGGCTTATAGCTAACGGCTACTACGACTGAAGATTGCACTGTGAGTAACTGAATCCTAATAAACGTACGGCATGTTTTGTTACGTGATGTAGATATAAATGAAGAGGTGTTAATTGCGGAAAATCACACATATTCACAGCAACCGTAGATCTGTTAAAATTTGAAATGGATAATTTATGCAAAATTGGAAAAAAATTGCAACATACTGGAAAAAAGAAAACGTTCATAAACACATGAATACATAAGTCTGTAGGAGATCAGCCAGAATTCTAATATGATTGTGTGAGATGAAATTTTCATGGAAAGAATGGGAGATATTTCTTGGAAACTGACATAGAAAGAAACTAACAGAGATAAATTCGAAAATATTGGATGGGTTGAGAGAATTGAATGAATTTCTAATTTCATACTGCGATCATATAAATTTCTTACATATCTTCGCTTCGCAAAACTGTCAATTAAAATTTCATAGAAACTTATCAAAGCTATATACCTGTTAATATTTTGCTGGCCATTCAAGCCATCGTTTACTTTTAATAATTAACCAAATGGTAGCAATTGTAGATATAGAAGAAAATCAGTCTATGCATTAACAAAATTGTAGCAAATATCATTAAGTAACATTGGCGAATAAATTGAATCAGAGAGCTTAAGACCAGCGCAAAAATTTCAAGGAACAAACTAGAATCTATGAAACGAAATCCAGGTATAATTATTAATCTGGTGATCTCTCATCCTGATTCACATCAATATTTCAGCATAACTGACTACTTATCATGCAACAGGCGCTTACCATAATATACAAAAAAAACAAAGAAATGTAGAGCAAGTAGTATATCCTTAACAAGAGCAAGAAAAAAAATCAATGCTGATGTTATTATGGTTCATACGATTAAATATGCTGTACAAAATAATTAACAATGAAATGAGACAAATTTAAATGCGACAATTCCGAAAGAAAAAGCGAGAAATTTGAAGATTTGCAAAAAACGTAATTAATAAAAACAAAAGATTTCATAAAGAATCACCACAATGCAAGGAATTATCCAGAATAAATCACCAAAATGATCACTGAAATTTATATTACAATCAATGCATTAAAAAAATTCTAAGATTAAAAACTGTCTTATCCCCGGCCTATAAACTTTCTGCCGGTCCTTAAGAATCTAAGGTGCGTTTTATATCTCCTAAACTCATCAAGATTCTGCCGCCTTTATATCAAGAAAACCAATAAAAGATTTCGAACTGATTATGATGATCAACGGATTAAAGAACACCATTCCACCAGTGATAAAAGTGAAATACATTGTTTTATTAGAAACAGCATTTAAAGAAATTAAAAGATATGAAATTTTTATAACATTATTACTGCTCTGTTAGGAAACGATAAAATCGTATGGAAAAGTAAATAGATAGAAAAATTGAGGAGATTTTAAATATTTTTCATGGAAAGATTGACAAAACTTGCAGTACGACCGTCACTAATATTCATTGAATCAATGTCATTCAGTGTCCATTCACCACGACCACTGAGATGTAACTCCATATCATGACATTGCTTTAGAGAAAATCGATGTCCAATTGAGACATATGAGATGCGCTCCTAGAAAACCGCACTATTTGTAATGATCAAGGATTGCGCACTTCTGACAAAAGCAAAACTGTGAGCGACGAGTTAAAACGATGGGTTTGGCAACTTTATGAATTTTAGACATTACCTTGTGAAGCTTTCAAAAAACTACAAAAATTATCTGAGAAGTGATAAAAATCTCCAGAAATAGAAAGTAAGCAACATTGCAAATTTAAATTCATAAATGATAAAAGACCTCTTTCATCAAGCGATATAGTGACATTTCCATCTCAAAACCAATGGCACTTGTTGCTTCATCCAAAAATGCTATCCGTGGACGATGGTAGAGCACTCGACCTATTGAAAGCCTTTGCAGTTCACCTGGTGACAGTGTTTCAGACCTGAATTTAAAACCAAAATAATTTGCAATTTTAAAAACTGCATAATCTAAAAATGGAAGTAAATTATACTTTATCAAGCATTCACAACTAAAAACAAAATGATCTATAACCACATAGACGGCATAAAAATTACTTACCAATCCCACTCTACCGGTGTATCTAAACCATTGCACCGCTGCAACAAATGTTCTAATTTGACCCATTCCAGGATTTGAGCTAAACGAGCTGCTTCTAAAAATTCATCCTTATAAGAGGCAACAAGTATTTCTCATATGATGATTAAAATTAACGAATGCTGCAAACCATCTCATTAACCGTTATCAATAGACTGACCTTACTGATCTTTTAAACTTTTAAACTATCACGGTAAGATTTTTTCCAGGATTTTAATGATAGCAGTGACGCACCTTTTTCAAGAGATAAAGCCTTCAATGGATAAACCAACTGTTGACGCAGACTACAGCCACCATTAGGAAAATATGTTTTCTGTGGCACAAAATATAACGTCGTAGGACTCACTTTCCAATGTCTTTCAAGCTTTCCTGAAAATTTAACATTCTAGAACTCCACTTAAGTGATTTAGCGCTTTCTGCAATAATCGAACTATTGATAAAATGCGGAGGAAGTAAAAAATACAATCCAACAACAATCTCATTTCGTTTTCTTTGCAGGAAAAAATTGATAATGCCAAATCGCTCCTTTAATTACTAAGTGATGGATAAACAAAGAAATAACCGGTTACACATTTCCAAAGTCCAGCAAGTACTCTCAACAATGATGTTTTTCCAACACTACCATCACCGGTTATTAGTAAGTTCTTGCCCTCGACAATTTGCAATGACAAATCTGAAAATAATTTCTACCATCAGGAGAAATTCTTTATACATAAAACTCTCTTCATCAGTAGCTCAAAACATTCAAACATTTCTTTTTGTTTGCCTAAATCAATCAAATTCCAATTTTTATAATAAGAGCCCTATCCAAGATCTGCCAATCTCGCTAAATATATTCAGAAATATTCTTTCTTTTTATCATCACCATCAGTATCATCTAATTAGCAATTTGGGAGAATGAAAAAAGTAGCAGTCAACTGACTCGAAACGAGAGGTGTCGACGAGTCATTTGGAAACGCGATAGTAACTGAATCAAGAGTCATAGCAATGCCATCGTCAAGCCATTCCGGATCTTCCCTGTCACGATTTCCGTCTGCCCTGAAATGACATTTCAATACAGTAAAATTAGAGATTAAGTGCATTCGAAACAGTCCAATTAAGCCATCCACTTGATTCTATAATTCAAAAATGACAA